TTTATGTACATTGTGTGTTTTTGTTTTATGTCAAATTTGGTTATGATTAGTATTTTTTATCTTTTTTAACCCTTGGTTATTTGTCATAGATGTTTTTTGTATTCTCTTGAATTATGTTTTACATATTAGTTGGAAGTAGGTCCAAGGTATGAGCCTCTCCTCACATTTGTCCTATTTGTTTGGCTTTGCGTGTTTTATTGTGTGTATAAAATAAATAAAATATAAATAGTACCATGCGAAGTGTAAAGTAGTCTTAGTAGTTAATAGTCTACATAACAGTGGTAGTCTTCTTCAGGTTTCTACATGTGTTACAAGATCTAACAGCCTGTGCTCTTTTGATTTTAGGTCAAAGCGTGCCCAGCAGGTTAGCTGTCCTCTGCCCTCTTCTCTGGACCCATGCACCCCTACTAAGGACTCAGGACTTAGGTCAGGATCTAAAGTTACAGGAGACCTACAAACACCTTGCCCTGAACCATCCAAAGTCACCTTCTCCTTGGAGCTGGATCTCCTGGCAGAGTTGTACTGTACCTGCATTTCAGGTAAATAACCACATGGGGGCGATATTCTACTAGTAAAGAAACTGGAGGGAAAACGTACAAGATATATTTTTACAGACAACAAAACAAAAATAAGTTACACAGAATAGAGTATTAAGATGGTAGACCCAACACATAACAAGAAATCATTCTGACATTTTAAGAATGTTTTGGGAATAAATAGTGTATTTTATGAAAAGTAATTTCACATAAATACCTGAAAATAAAATCATTTTCAGAAGTGATTTGGAAGTTGTCCAGAGATAAAGAAATTGAGCATTTGTATTTTTATGTCTTACAGAAAACCTAGTGCCAAATATTTTCCTGGAGCTTTTTTTTGTAATGCAGTTGCTAACGTCTCGATGCCCTCACACTCATGATGATGAAGAACAGGAAAGTCTGTCTGCAGTAAATTCAGGTGTGTTGTATAATTTTACTTTTAGTCTTGTAATATCAAAATGTTCAGATTTCGCAACTTGAAATTGAGCCAGTTTTTCTTCACATTTCCAGTTGTTCTGGAGAGACGTTACCTAAGACAAGTACACAACTGTGTGTATTTTGCAGTGAAAGTTCTGCGGAATCAGTTTCAGTGAGTTTCTTTATTCTTGTGTCACGGTTTTCCTCGGTTATCCCCTAACATATTTCAGCTCATAGTTTTTCCCCTATGAAGTGATATTGCTCGCTTAGTTGACTTCTGAGTTGAAACATCTTTTGTCATGTGTAAGGTTGGTATCTCATTTGGACAAGTGTACATTGCGGCTGTTGGCAGAGAACGAAAGGGTGTCGTCTTTCTGTCCGGATCTCAGGGACCGTCTCACTCAAGCCCAGGACAGAAGCATAGCCAAGGTAGCACATGTGAACTTTATTGTACAAGTGAGATTGTGGAATTGATTTAAATAATATATTGGTCCCAATACTCCATGGTGTTTTTAAGACAATAAAATAACAGAATTGTTTAAAATTATTGTGTATATTGATTAACACATTTTTAAGTATTAAATATATTGAGCATGTTCATGAATCTTTGTTTTGGTTCATTACTAAAAATGTTCAGACAACTTAAAGTGTTCTGCACTATTTGTTAGGTTGATATCTTTTGTGTTCATCCTTTTTGTGCTCCAGCTTTCTCCTTCAGTGTCCACTTTCATCCACTCAGTCCCATTTCAGCCTGCTACTGACAACAGGTCCAACTTCGGTAGTGACAAGGCCTTCCACACCTTTAAAAAACAGAGGTATGCCACAATTTCCTCCTCCTTCTTTTTTTTAAAGCTGCCCTCTCACCTTGTGCCCTGTAAAAAGTATTTGTATGGCAGTTGAAGTATGAAGCACATGAGGTAAAACAGCACTTCTTAATGATCATAAATAGGCCATGTACAGGCTGAGCACATCAGCCATGCTTTTGCATTTGATGATTCTGCCTTTTTTTACAGGGATATTTTTTATGAGTTGCTGCGAGAATGGGAGGATTTTCACAAGGAACCAGGGTGGAACTTTGACACTGCTCTTGGGAGTAGAATAAGGCAAGTTTGGTTTTAAAATTGTTTTAATTTATGGACAAGGGTAATATAAAAATTAATTAAAACCGTTTTTATCTAATCCATTTATCTGGTCTACTTTTGGTCTATGCATTTCATTGTTCCATCTTCTTCTTTAGAGGAATGATGAGTCAGCTGACCTCTGCAGGAAGTCATTCTCATTTTGCTCGTTTGTTCCTGAAACAGCTTATTCAGGTAGACCGTCATCCACACTTACACTATGGATCTTAACCTAATATTTTTAGACTGTGATGGACGTTTACCTGCAGCAGTAACATTTTAAAACCTCAGCAGCTTCCTGACTTTATCTTCCCCTTCGAGACATTTCTCTTTTAAACTGAAGTGTGTCATATTACACGCATTTGGAAAAATACTGTAAGTTTCACAATTTGCCATTTTCTTAGATGTGTAAAGGCCCCAGTGTGAACAGCTCTCCTGGAGACACCCCTGATGCTGACCTGCTAGGTATCCTCGGAGCTGACAGCCTGGGGCGCCTGAAGCGCCTTGAGGAGCGTCTCATTCAGCCTCATGGAGTCGCTGGGCCCTGCCCTCCTCCATCCTTTCCCGGTCACCAGGAATTCTTCAGGGACTTCCTGCAGACAGCGAGTTGGTGAGATAATGCATCCAAGCAAATATGGCCAATTAATGTGTCATTAAAACATAATATTGTGTTTTTATCTGATATTTATTTCATTGCTACTTAAACTCAGTTTTATGAAAGTTTGACCTATTATGTAAGATATCATTTAGCTTCTATTTATAAATTAGCATAGCTGCATTGATATTGTAGTTATTCATTATGTCCTTGTCATCACAGCAATAATTTTATGATTTTATTATCCGGAGTCTCTTTTGCATGTGGGAGTTCCCATTTGTTAAAAGTTGAAGGTTTCTGTCTTCAGTACAAAACTCTACAATGGTGATGGTTGGATGAAGACTGATGAAACTTTGGGGCTTTCTTTCTCTTTGTGAGGAAAGGAGATTTGTGGGTTCAGGGCTTGATTACAAAACAACACATTGATATCTGGTGGTTTGCAACAGTTATAGCTCCTCTTGAAGACTGGGATTGAATGACTAACACTGTAAATGTTAGTGCAGTAAGTCAAGTCAAAGTCCAAGATGCCTGCATGTTGTTACTAAGTCAGTAATACCTTTGGAAATATTGCATTTAATATAGATGTTGCTGTGTAATATATTAGAGGAAAATAATTGTCCATAAAACCTAGATATAAAATATGTTTGTTGACATAAGATATTAATGTGCCTCATTGGTCTAGTTTAGTGTCATGCATTTACATTTCATGGTTGATTTTGTAACATGTCATATGAAATACAATGTGATGTGACTGGAGAATCATATTCATTAAATTAGCTAATTACTCTTTTGTTACTTTGTATCAGGTGGAAACGCTGTCACACTTTTATGTCTTTGTATTGGGCAGCATCATGTTTCATTAGTTATTCTCCTCTCTTCTTATCCCACTGAGCTCATCACATGAGATCACTCAGTGATCTTCTTAGTTTATCTGAAAAACTGTCAGAGCTCTTTCTGAAGCCATCTTTGACACGGTATTTTTCATTTAACGCAAACTCAGACAATGTGTTTAAGCAGTGCGCGTCACGGAAATGAAACAAGCTTTGGAGCTTTGGTATCATCCATCCATCTTTGTTATACAGAGTCGCTTGTCTTTAACACATTGTACTTTCTGTGTACCAGCTGCCAGCTGAACCAGCACCTGCAGGACAGCCTGTGTCAGCAGCTCCTCCAGCTGGATGAGGTGTCCATCCTGAGCCCTGCTGCTTCCATCAGGGAGGGAGAGGAGGAGGGAGATGGGGACATGGAGCAGCAGGTATGCAGACCGTGAGACAATACTGAAATGTCATTGGATTTGCTTTCAAGTTTCCTTTCATCTTGGATCAAGCTGCATTTACAACCAGTGTTATTTTAAACATGATGGAAAGGATTTCAGTATGAAATTCCAAACGTACTAGATTGAACAAACACTAACCAACATGCTGTTAATTATTATATAAACCTTTGTCAGGATGAGAAGCAGCGGTTCGCCTCAGTGTTGCTTCTGGCTCGTCTTCTGGCTAAGTTTCTGGGGTTCATTTCTTTTCTGCCTTACCAAACATCGGCGAGACCATCCAGAGAGATACAGGAGGCTGCTGTAACACTGCGCAGCAAGGTGAGAGAAAAAGTAATGATTATACACCAATTTTAAATTATTTCTCTATTTAGTCCAGACCAGCAGTGGTACACATGTAAATGTGTATTTGTTTCCATGCATTTTAATGTCATTACAAATTCTCTCTCACTCTGGATGTGTCAGAGTGTTCCTGTGCTGGATGTGTGTGCTGTGCTGAGTAACAGTATGCGGAGGAGGCGCATCATCCTGACTGTGCCCTGGCTGGTGGAGTTCCTTTCCATGTTGGACTTTATTGGCCCCATGCTACTCTGCTATAGGACTGTGTTGGGCATGCTGCTTCTCCTCTACAGGTCTGTCTTTCACATTTATACCTTAAACATTATATAGCCTGCTGTTTTGATAGGCCAAGTCACGATCAAAGCCATTGTAAAATCTGATAAACATGCCTCTGGAGGTGTGGAGGCTACACAAAGCAGCAAAATAATTTTTAAAAATAAGCTGCAACTAATGCTTTAAGTGCTGCTTTAAGTATTTTATTTAGGCTTCAGCTTGTTGTGCCTCCCCTAACAAAACAAATAAGCTTCAAATAAAATGTACATGATGTAAAAATACTACTAAAATTTATCATCAGAATATTTATTTATTCATTACAGGCATTACTGACAGCAGTTCAGTTCAGCACTAGTTTTAAGGAATATTTTGTCCATATATATATTATTTGCTCTATTAGTGTTTGTTTTTGAGGTATAAATTATAGCTGGAATAGAGTCTCACATTGTGTTTGGTCTGCTGTTAATGTCTTAGTGGTATTTTTGCAACTTATAATTTGTAGAAAAATAACCTGAAAACGTTCCTAAACCGAATTAAAATCTGAAACATGTCTAAACAACCTCATACAAACAAACAAATGCTTTTTATTTTCTTGGTCAGTGTTTGCCGTGTTCTTGGAAAATCGTGTTAAATATGACTTTTGTATGCGTGTAGGAGAATGCTCCTGGGTAGATGTGGAGAAATGTGTTACCTGAACAAGCTATTAATGGTGTCTGTGCTGGGCTGGCTGTTCCAGGTGAGACTTGACTTTTAGACTTGTATATAAATATATATATAATGTGTAGCAAAACATGACTGGTTGCAATTTAAAATCCTGCAGAGCTTACTTTAATGTTTGTATCTGAATAATATTACTTCATATTTCATGTAATTTGACAGATTCCTGTGATTCCTGAGGACATTTTCTTCACCAGCGAGTTCACCGAGGTGGCTAAGCTGGAGGACAGCAACACAAGTGGTGCAGGACTTGTAAGTATTCAGTCTCGCAGGTGTATAAAATGCCCACTGGTGATTTCTCATTTATACTGAGGCATCTCTTGTTGTTGTCAGGACTGCATTCCACTAGTGGATCAGCAGCTTCTCTATACATGTTGTCCATTTCTTGGTGAGTGAAAATTTGTCAGTCTTTTATATGTGTATTTTATAGTACTGCTGTTACACAGTGTTCTCAATAGAAGAGGTCAGATTTAGTCTCGATATACTCACCACAAATGAACAATGGCATTGTAACGAGTGTGTGCTTAGGCCTTGACTCGATGCCCTACCTTTATTTTATCCATCCAGCTGAATTTCGAAAGCTCCTAGCTGCCTTTGTGTCTGGAAGCACGGCCAAGAGTGGAGGATTTATTCGCAAGATCACTCCCACTTCAGCTGAGCCCAGGGATACACCAACTGCCAACAGGCTGCAGCAGAAACTACAGGTAAATAACAGATGTAGAAAAGAGACATTTGAAATGACAGCAGTGACTTGCCTGTGTTTGAGAACTAAACGTGTCAATTTTTCTTTTGCAAAGGTGGACCTCGAGCAGGCCTTCTTTCACAACCAGCCTCCATCGTTGCGCCGCACTGTGGAGTTTGTAGCTGAGCGGGTTGGATCCAATGCCGTCAAGCATATGAAGTTGGTATCACAGCACCAGGGGGTGGTTCAGTCTGAGAATACATAAGCAGTTGTGAATTTTTCAATTTCCAAATCGATTGTATCATTCTCATTTCTTGGTTGTACTTTGATCAGCTTTCCAACAAATACCATCTTAGAATTGAAAACAAGGTTTAGAATAGCAGCTAATCAGCCTGTAACTTAGGTTGGGTGTCTGCCTAAGAGGCTAGTGACTCTCCAACAGTTCAAAATTACCATCTTAGGTGGTGGCTGGTGTGGACTCGCCACCCTATGTATAGGTATTTTACAGAAGTGTATTAAAACTTACTTTCCGCATTACTATGTAGGATCATGTGTGTACAAGTGCATAATTTATTTGGGGACCTTCAACAGGGCTACATTAGTCAGTGAGTTGGTGGAGAGGGGAGAGAAGATGCTGAGAGAAGGACTGGGGTTGCCAAACTCCAATCCTTCAAAACTGAATGACTCCATCTGTGCTCAGCTGTGTGATGCAGGATTGGAGGCCCTGGCAAGAGCCACCAGGTACAACACCCTCTTTTACAAGCAACCGGCAAACCTGTCATTGTTAAAATCCTTAGACTTAAAGATTTAAATGACCATTTGATTTTTTTTTAATGCCATTTTCCACCTCTGTGTGTTGATCTCTTCCTGATCTGTATATCTACAGATTTTGCTGCGAGAAAAGTCCTGAAGCCATACGAATTCTGCTCCCTGCTGAGACCTCCCCTGCTGTAAGGCCTTCTAAGATCACCATGCAAAAATGATATTATGTCAAGTCAGTCTGACACATTTCTTTAGAAGGAACATCAAATCTACAAATGCAGATTTGCAGGGAAGAAAAAAAAAATCACTAGAAACTTACACATATGTTGTTCCCATGTCTTTAACCCACTGACTCTGTCCAGGTCCTGAACACATCTGAAAACATCACCAAACGTCTTGCGACAGAAAAAGCCTGCAGCTGGCTCTCTGCCAACATTACAGGTAACTAGTTAAAGCACCATACCAGTTTTTTTCTAAGCACATATGTATGATGATGATTTAAAATGCGCCCTCAGTCTGAACAGCAAGGTGACTTGAATACGACTTTTACGTCACTCTCGAGCAACATTCATTGTAGCGTGTACTTGTGGGAAGCTGTAATAACACCATACCTTCTCCTTCCCCTCATTCTTTATGTATTCATAATCTGCTTCAACATTCGCCTACTTCCATTACACAATATCTTAAAATTGAATGCGTACAGATTCACATCCATGATCTCCTTACTACAGACTTCCTTGTTTACATCCATGAACTGCATGCTGCGTGTGATGTTTTGTTGTTCTTCTGTACATGTCGGTCACATCAGGGCATGATCAGTTCACATTGGAGTCTGATCTTGGCCACATTTTTAAAGATAATGTGAACTGTGACAGAATACAAATCAGATATAGAGAATAAAATCTGACTTGAGCACTAAGACTTGCAGTGTGAACGTAGTGTAAAAGTTTCACTCTATTTTCTCACTGTCAAGCGCTCATAAGGCGAGAGTGGAAGAGCCGGTATGATCGTGTGATGAAGGCTCTGGGAAGCCCAACGCCTCCAGACTTTGGCGAAGTTGAGCTGGTCATCCAGGAGCAGTCGACTACTCCCAGGAGAAAACAAGGAAGTGAGAAAGTGACATCCTGCCCTCCACTTTGCAACCACAGCGCTTCACTGCCCTCAGACATCCTCATTGAGATCAAGGTATACTTGTTTAAAAGTGTATTTTATTGGCACACTGGGAAGTTGATATTTATTTATCTTTGCTCTACTTTATTTGATGATGCTCTGTAGTACTTACTAAGGGCGGTTACAAGGAATGTATTCAGCAAAAATAGACCTTTTGGTTGAAATTCATTTTTCCTCTGAGTGTTGATATTAAATTTTCAGTTATTTTGAGCAAGCTATTAGTGTTATGTCACACATTGTTTCACCCAAATGTTGGAAAGTAAATCCAAAGAATAAACCTTACTTCTTATTGAAATGAACATGAATCAGGTCTGTCTGAAATTCTGCTGAATGCAGGAGCTGCTGAGCATTGCAGTGGGTCCCAGGACTGAGGAGGAGTTGCCATCTGGCTCTCAGCTCAAAACACTGCTACAGAGAGTGGGAGACACATTGACCTGCAGAAAGGTACAGGAGACACTGCAAGTGCAACAAAACAACACTTGTGCTGGATTTTTTTTCTCATTTTTGCCAGTATTGATCACACTGTGTTCTTATCTCCTCACTTAGTTTTCAACTGTGTTGTCAGAGCAGATGCTGCTGAACTTGACTGTCCTACTAGCCTGTAAACTGGGTAAGGGAGTCCAGGCTTTGAAAAACTCTTAATAATAGGAAAACAACATTTTTATAATGTGTGCTGTGTTTAACTGTAAACTCATAAATTCCCACGAGTGCCACTTCATCATAAACAATCTTATTTATTATTTAAGTTTCCTTATGCTGCTAAAATAGAAACAGAAAAGTCTAGTTGATGTTTTGTGTTTCTGCTTAGTGTCTGCAGAATTACCGGTGCTGTCTGTGTCAGGGTGCAGCAGAGGTGGTGAGGCTGTTGTGGGTCCTGGTTCAGGGTCAGAGCCTCCTGTTAGGGCGCTGCTGGAGCAGCTTTCTGAGCTGTGGGAGAGAGACTGCTGCTCCTCCGCCCCAGTCCACCTGCTCCTCAGTCCACTTACTGTCACTGCTGTGCTGAAGGGCAGTGACACGGAGGTACATCAACTAGTACTGCTATGACTCATATTGAAATATTAATACTGTTACTGTAACTACCTCTACTTATTTTTATAGGCTATTCTCCTCAAGTACCTCAACACATACTGTATATGCATACATATAGTTGTGCAAATTACATATGATTTTAATTTGGTAGTAATTCCAGTTAGTGCTTTGTGTCACATTAGCAGTAAAGCGGGGGTGTTCTACTGGCTTGACACATTTACTCGTTGGACAGCTAATGCTAGCTTCAGACTGGAGGCTGCATTTTTATAGTTTTTTTTTTCACAACCAGGCATCTGTAGTTTACATTGGAGCTAGGAAACAAGACAAAAGAAATTAAGTAGAGTACCTTTTAAACAGTGAACTGACATACTGTAGTTAAGGCATGATTACACTGGATTTAATTAACATTTTTTTCTTCTGACTTTGTATATTTTTCCATCTGTTTTACATTGATTTGTGATTATATTATTTTTCCGTTGACTGTCATTATTTTCTTCTATATATATATGTTGCATATTTGAGGTCTTTTAATGATTTCCTTTATTTTTTAGTGGAACAACTACCTGTTCCTTGTTAGAAAGCTGGTTGACAGAGGAATCTTGGGTGAGGACGAGGTCCTATCTCATTGGAAGAAGCTAAAAAACTTGGCGTTGCCAGCGGTGAGGGTTCACCTTAGGAATTATTGCTTTTACTGATGTGACGTCTTTGACGCATTTCCTATATTTCATGTTTACTTTGTTTTCTCATTTCAGGAGCTGATAGAGAAATTTCAGCTGCAGTCACAGAGCATGAAATCCTCCTCCCCTTTGGCTGAATTAACAAGTCACTTGGACATGCTGCAGATCTCACATCAGACAGTAGAGGGCACAACATGACAGCGATAATACTGCCCAAATAATCCCAGAGCATCTGTTGAATGATCAGCTCTGTCAGTGTGTCATTCAAAGGGTTGACAGCTCTCCGTCACTTCCCGTTGTTGCCAGTTTTTCCAGTTGCACATTCTGCACAGGCCATCAGAGAGATTCCACAGTCATCCTCTGCACAGTTCTGCACCTGTTAAGTGCCAGCAGCCTTCTGTGTCCCTTGTAGTCCATCTTCTCTTTTTCTAATGTGGCTATGAAGCCAACCAGAAAGCCCCACCAGTCAGGTGCAGGTAGCTAGGAGTCATGCCAGTAGCTTTGTTTTTATATAAAGACATTGCCTCATTAAAATGTACAAAAAAAAAATACTTGTACATGAAATTGCACCAGACAAACCACAGTCATAGATGCTGCTTTAGTCCAGTTCTAAAAAATGACTGAAAGTGAAGTTTTTCTTAGTTTTAGACCCACCAGAGAAAATAAATATTTATTACAGTATAGCACTTTAAAACACTGCCTTTGACCGCCACTACTAGTGAAACGCATGTTTTGTGATGAATGCAACACCGCATTTGTGTTTGTGGTTTGTTCATGTTGAACAAGTGCTGTATTCACTGCTGCTTTTAAATTGATTTATTTTTATGTAACCGCAAAATTAAAAATATAATAAAGATGTATTATAGGTTGTGCTTGTTGTGTGTTCGTCTGACTGATTTTCCAGTTTCATAATGGCTAAAAAAAAATCATTGTGTCATGATAAAGCCTAGGATCTTATACAATGTATGACTGTACTGATCAGTAAATCTATGGAAATGAGAAAAATTGGTCATTGGTTTTAAAAACACTTAAGTGAAATGTTTGCTATAAGTTGAAATTTTGACTTTTTATCTAATCTGATAGCCAAATGTTTCACTTTCATCACATAATTATGGCTTAGCCCAAGTTTATGAATTTAAAGATGTTTGTTTTTTATAACAACTTTTGTCCTAGTGTGTCAAAATATGACATTTTGACATAATTTTGATTTGGTGTGTTAAATTCTCTGCTTTCTATCTAATATGTGTGACATAGTAAACCAAAATGTTGACATTTTATCTAATAATTTTAACGTTTTATCTCAATTTCTAAGTAAAAATCTTGACTTTTGGTCAAATTTTTATTTCAAATCAACAAGTTTTTTCAAAACGAAAAGAATTCCCCCCCCCCCCTGTTTATGGGCTTTCATCTGGTCATTCGGTCTATTACTCCATAAAATAGTAACTTTATTAGTCGATTTATAAGTATAACCCCCAGTTTAACACTTGGGAGATTTTAATAATAACAGATATGCAAACAGATGTGAATATAGGTTAGTAGGAGTGGTATCCAGCAGCTCCCTCCCTTTCTCCGTCCATCAGGAAGTTTCAGTTGTCGGCTGAGACTTGTACGGACTCTGGCGGGCGGTTGGACTCTCGTCCAGGCGGCAGAGATGACTTGAGCGTCGGACCGCAGGATATTTTTCTTTTGCTCTCGCTTCAATATTTATCACAGTAGTGTCCAAAAAACAAAAAAAAATGCTCACATGGAAAGCTTTATTTAACACCAGCTCCGAGTTAGCGCTGAGCTGTGAGTGAAAATTGCCTGAGGAATCATGGCAAACGTCAAAGTTGCCATACGAGTCCGTCCTCTCAGCGCAAAGTAAGTTCTGTTAGCTAGCGTTTAATTTCCTCTCCTGACTAATATCGCGCTAATCAAACGTCTTATTAAATAGGCATAGAGCTAGTTTACTGCAGTTGCCTTCATTTCTCACTGCCACGGGCATTTCACTGCTGTTTGTTACTTGTGACGTGCAAACTATTGTGTTGCCTTTTGTGTCAACGTTGCCCGTTTATCTCTTCGATCGTATAATAGGAACTTTAAGCTAGCAGGCTAGCTAGCTAAAAACTTTGTGTGTCGGTTAAAAGTAGTAGGCGCGGTGAATAATGACAACTGTAGCTGTCAGTTCTGCCTGACTGAGCACACTCTGCTTAGGATGTGTAGAAACTACTTGACAGTAACATCTGTACGCAAAAACAACAACCTTAGGCTAATAGGGTTTGTAATTAGAAGTTAGAAATTACCATTGCTACCTTTTGTTTATGATAACTGTTTAAATAAACAATAATTATGTACAGGCAATGCTCTCAAGATACTCCAGATTTTACCCCTTTGACGTCCAGTTAAGCTTTGCACTAGATTGTAAGTTGGGAAAATCATTAAAGCAGCAGAACATTAATCAATCACATTATTGCATATTATATTAGGTCATCTGCTGCTTGCCTTGTTCTCACATGACAGAGTTTAGCTTTATTGGTCAAACAGAACAAGTGATTTGAAAATGTTACCTTAGGCTCTGGAGGATGGTTCTTAGAAATAGCTGTTAGTTGCAGCCCTTTCATATTCCACATTTACAGTGTTATGTATAGTATATTCTTTATCATAAATGTTGTTTACACTCCATGGCTGCAGCTTTCTATTAAGTGGAAAACTGTAGAGGTTTTGTGCATCATCATCATACTAGACATGTTTCTTCAGTCCAATGTTCTGTACCTTTGCAAACTATGGGATCTTGTGTCAAAATACTAAAAAGGGGGGTTAAAGTTGGGTTGAAGAGGTTAAAAAAAATCAAGGAAAATGAGAGAATCAAAAAGTTTCTCCTTATTTTTCAATGCTACGAAAACTGCAGGATGTAAAGTTGTTTGGCTTCACTGTAGCACCCCCATTACATTAACAGGCAAATTGCTGGATAACAGGTCCTTCGGGTCTAGAGATTTTGTACATACAGTACAAGTTCTATAGTGAACTCGTGCAGGATATTTAGCAGGGGTGCTTAATGTGCAAGCCACTAGAGAACCATAACAAGGCATTATTCAGGCTGTAAAGGGCTGGACAGCTCAATCAACCTTCCTGGTGTTTTGGATAACAAAAGGATTTCTTACACATCATGTTCACTGTCATGCAAATCTGTCCTTTTTGATTTCTGGTTCTCACAGTCTTACTGTCTTCTCTTTTTTTGTGTGAAGGATGCACTTCCTTACTAATATATTTGAATCAAGGATTGCTGTGTGACAGAGATAACATTAACACCACCCAGTTCAGCTACATTCCTCATTCGGCCCGGCATAGAGGTGTGATGTGCTTTGTTCTAGTTGGACAGTAGCATGCAAGCAGTCGCTCGTGCAAGAAAGAGACATGTCAACCCATTTTTGACATTGCTTATCATTGGTTTGTATGTAAACGTCTTTTGTGAAGTTGACTGTTTTCTACAATCAGTCTCCTCTGTTCCATGCTGGTTTGAATTTGAGATTAAAGATTGGTGGTTTGGGGTTATGTCACCACTCTGGGGTTGTGAAAATGAGTCCCATGTGGCAAAACACAGGGAGAGCTGACTATTAAAACAGCCTCCTCGGCTGCTCCTAACACACCACAGAGACCGAGCGTTTGCGCTACAGGCAGCATTCATCATCATTATCGCTCCTGGAGATCGAAATTCTTCATCTTCATTCTGTGATTGCCTCCAGTTTCACATGTGTTGCATCAGATGTGCTTGGTCCAGCTGCTGAAGCACATAGAGCGGAGCTGACCTTGTGTTACACGTGCAGGTCCGAGTTATACACACAGTTTTGTGCAAGGAGCCCAAGCTACGTCATCAGAGAAGTCTCTGGAGTGTGTGAGGGTCTGTTTACATTTGAATCTGAAGCTGGTCAGTGGAACTCACAACTGTGGTGATTTCACGGATGACATGCACACAAAGATTCATTGTTACAACTTTCATGTGATGACCTGCAATCAAGTGGAACTAGCCTGAATTTATACAGACACACTCAATTACATCAGCAACAGCGAAAAGGGGTTTTAAACAGCCTGTAGGGTGATAATACAGTATTTGAATGCAAAAATGCAGACATTTCCTGGATTTATGCAAGCATGTTTTATCTGAATTTTCTCTCTTCTCATCAGCATTTATCACATCTTTATCACTTCCTAATAAGGATGCTTAGAGTTGACAGAGCAGCCATTTCAGGCGTTCTCTTGTTGTCCACAGGGAGAATGCGGCTGGAGGAAGGCTAGCAGTTCAGGTGGAGGACAAGTTCGTGAGGATCCGAAATGTAAAGGTGAGTATTGTAGTGAGGAACTACCCCAGGTGCTGCACAGCTATATTGAGCCAGTCTTTGTATGTCTTTTGTTGTGTTTGACTGCTTGAATTGTGAGTCATGTGTAGAGCTGGATGTAAGGAGGAGGATTAGGGCCACTGTACAAAATTTAAGTTCTGACTTTGTTTCTCAGTCAGAACTTAAATTTTGTACAGTGGCCCTAATCCTCTTCTGTAAGGATTTTTACAGCCTATACTTATTTTGAACCCCCAAATCTACCTCCTACCCCAAGGTATTGTAAATAAAATACAATGTACAGTAGCACTGGTGGTATATTAAGAGGTTTAGCTGGGGATTCGTCTCCAGGCATAATTAATAACAGGCCTGTTTTCTAAACAAAAGGAGTTTTGTCTGACTTGTTGAGCTCCACTGCCTACCTAGTGCTGTTTCTGCAGTTCCAGTGTGGAACATGTTACACTTTGGTTTTCATTCATTTGAGTGTTTGCAGATACAATATATATATATATATATATTTAATGGTGTAGCTTATGGATGCTTATAGATGTCCTTGTGAAGCATCTTATCTCAAAGTGTCAATCTTTAGTGTTTACATGTAATGAAACCATACAAAAAGGATGAAAGAATTTCAGCTTTGAAACCAATTTCAAAACTCACATTTAGCTGCAACTCACTCACATGTGGGTTAAGTACTTATAGCACTGCCTCATTTGTTTACATTTGGACTTTTAAATGCAGATGTATAGAGAGCAGTTGGGTGGGGAATGAGACAGTCTGTTACAGATGATGTGACAGAGACAAACCACATATGGACTTTCTCTGCTATGGAAAAAGATCAAGACTCCAAGGCTGTTGTGGGTCTCATGGGAATATTTATTTATGGGAAGTGGGACAGTTTTGGAGGATCTGAGACTGAAAGGAAAAAAAAAGGGGGCATTTTCAAGGCTTGCAAACAGCTACTAGTGCAAAGCTGTGTAGACCCCTTAAACTAAATTACAAAGTGTTAAACAAGCTAAAGATAAAATGTTCTCCTTTATCAGTAGTCGGGGTTGTGCTGGACCTGGAGGTTTGCCTAGGGCTGGTGTTGTTCTCGGTTAATCACTCACACTGCAAGACTATTGTTCGATTTCATAGCTGAGTGGTTAAACATTCATTTTTTCAGACGAGGTAATTTCTGATTACAGGTTGACAGCCAAAGTTTAGTGTTGCCTAATGGTGCAGCCAATGAAAGAAATGATCGTTTGCATAGATGAGAGAGTGAGCTCATCATTTTGATAATTGATACATGGACACTGAAGTATAACTGTAGCTAGAAAAGCCTCTCCAAGCCCTCTGTTTGGTAGCAATCTTTCACTGAAATGTTCTTAAACAAGACATATAGCAAGACATACACTATTCAGTTTGAATAATAAGGTATATTTGCACATTTGAGAAGCTTTAATCAGCAAATATTTGCCATTTTAAATAACTTTCCATCAGTTAATTATTTGTTTAATCAATTAAGTAGTTTCAGCTCTAGAGATATACTAATGCCATCAGTATAAGAGAAATCTCTATCAATGATCGTTAGAGCCCCAGGTGCCACTTTCTCAACTGATGTTTCTCAAAACCAGACCAAGATTCAGTTGAGTAAAAATACGTATGTTTAAAATATGTTTTGCAACAACTACAAACACACAAAGTAAGGTTCAGGTGAAGTGGGTACACCTGAAGAGCTTTCCAAGCCTTAATCTCCAAAAAGATCCTGAAATCCACTGAACATCACTGATGGTTCAGATGCCATGATTCATAAGAAATGCTTAGATGCTGCTCTTTGCCAGAGTTGTGTCTGGACAGGTCCAAATGCGGCTGTTGTGTCTTTCCTCAGCTCCGGAGTCGCTCGCAGCAAGCAGAAAGCTGTTTTGTGTTGATGCACTGATGTGAATAAAGAACAGGAGGAGGAGGAGTGAGTGCATTGATAATGAATGGAAACAGCTTGTTTGCAATTCCACGCCATAGCAGTCACACAAACAAAACCTGTTGTACTGGGGTTTTAACACAGGGATATTTACTACACATCCTAGTTCTTTTCATTTCACTTCTTATATTGTTAAATACATGCACAAATTGCTCCTATATGGTGTGTGTGTCTGTACATTATTAGCTGTTAGTAAGCACTGTATTATCTATTGATTTGTGCTTGGTAAATAAAATAACAATATCGCTGAACTTGTGTGATGAGCATTTATTACTTAGGGTCAAGTGCATGAGTACATGCAAAAATTAAAAATGACATGTGCTTTTGTTTCTTCACAGCTGGATGAACGTACAGATGGTGCTATAGATTCCAGGGAGAAGCTTCTGGAGTTTTGTTTTGACTACTGCTACTGGTCGGTGGACCCTGCAGACCCCCACTATGCATCACAGGAGGAGGTAATGGGCTTTTTACTTGGTTTGCTCACTGAACTATTACATAGAGTACCATTTGCCAGTTAAGGGCTATGGGGCGTTGCCTAAATAATGGCTGAACAGGCCCCTCTACCTGTTTCAGCATTAGCGTTTACATCCAGTAGTCAGCCAGTCCCTGATTTTCTGTCATGTTGCTACTGTGGTTCAACAGTAATATGGTAGGATCTGGTTTGTGTATCATCACTGAAAGATTTTTGTTTTTATGCCATGTTAATATGCCTTATTTAGGTAGAGACCATGTGCGTGCCGATCCAGAGTTTGGCCACAAGTTGGCAATGGGCAAACACAGCCCAACAAACACAACAAAGAGCCCAGAGGAAACACTGTCCTTGTAGGCAAACCACAACAGGGTGTGTAGTTGTATGTTTTTACACAGATGGCCACTAAGGGGATATGATATCAGCTCCATCTGTTACCCAGAAGTCTCTCTGCCTGAGACACAGCATGGCTCGAGTCAGCTCGCCTTTCATTTCCCGACTGTGATTGGGTGATCAAATATCTTTGTGTTGCTTTGATTTGGGGGTGTTGCTGTGACCTGAGTGGGGATCCAGAGGAAGTGGAGGCTGAGTCTACTACAGGAAATCTCTCCAAAATCTATTCATATAGAGTTCTTTTTTTAGATAACGTCTCTGTTTTTATTTCCATCAAGTGAACATTATTCAGCCCAGTAACTGCAGTTGTTCCACTTTTTCTTTCCTTTGCCCACAGGGCTCCCTCCTCTGCCACTCCCTGTCTTTCTTCTTGTCAATGCTGCTCTGTTGTACGTATTTAAGAACGATGGGTCTGTGATGATGGCCTACACACTGAGGAGGGCAACGCAGCACTTCTTCCTATCTGCTTGTTGCCATCTTCCTGGCCCTGGCTTTGGCCTACTCTGTCCTCAGCATAATTGTGTCTAGTCACAGTGGCTTGGTTGCCACAAGACATTCCTCTGTTGACCTGGGGTGGGCAAAAGGGCGCTACTGGAGGACACAGCTGCTGCATTTAAATCTGACCTCTTTTCTAGCATGCGAATCAGAAGAATTGTCTCTTTTTAAGATGATCGCGTCAGTTGAAAATATTTGAATTAATCATTTCTCTGGTGGATTTGAACGCTGATATATAAAGCAAAAAACAGTGTTTGTGTTGCAGGACAGGAAGGCAGATTTAATGGAGCACAAAAATCAGAACAGGAAGTGGGATTTGGCTCTGAATTCTTCTTGCTCTCTAGTCCCCATGAGATGCAGACGAGGGGAAACTGGATCTTAACTCCTGCTTTTCCAGTCCAGTGCTATGCTACCACACCCAGCACCCCTCAGAGACTGGCCTCCCAGCCCCTGCCCACTCCTACTCTGCACTGTACACATCCATGCATCACTGATAGTTTACACCAGATGCTTGTGAGGCTTCTGTCTTCTGTGCAGCAGAGAGGGAAGACAGAAATGTGGTAACTCAGACTGCATGTTGGGGCGCAGATGTGGTTGCATTTTTGTCACTGAGGGTTCACAAGAAAAAGCTTGTCTTACAGTTTTTGAGATGTATCCTTGGGTATAACATGTTTCAAGATGAAGTATGAGAGCAGAGGAATGGGAAGGGCTCTGTCAGGTGAGGAGAGGTAGGATTTTGGAAGTCAACCATAAGCAATAATGGGAGCCACCTGTTAATGCAGGAGAGAGCTGGGACTCTTTGTTTGAAGGCTGCCTTGGTTTTGAACCTAGATATTGAGCTAATAAATGGCTTTTCCCACTCTTTTTTTTCTGTTCTGACAGAAACATGGGAATGGAAAGTGAAAGAGAAGCAGAGGAGAGAATATCAGGAGAAACTGATTGGAGAATGTGAATTCCTTGGGTAGAGGTGGAGGGGGTGCTGAGGACAGGAGGGGATCCACTGTTCCTCTGCATCCCCCAGCTCTCGCCTGCCAAACTCACAGCTGCCTCACAAAGTAATTTTTCAGTTAAATATCAGTGCTGAGTATTCGGTTCAGAGCACAATGCTGTTTTTTATGATCAAATGGAGTCAGCTTGCTGGGGTTTTTCCCTCTCCTCTCTTCCTCCTCCTACTACTCCTCTTCGTCAGTCTCTCTGTGCCTCTGTTGACGCTGTGTGTGATTTTTATTATGCTCTCAGCGTTTCTAGGTCTGTGTGTCAGTGGTGCTGCATTCTGGAGGAAGAATAGCTTCTCTGTGTATGGGAAGAATCCTCCACACACATGAGCATTTACTCACGTGGATGGAGCAAGAGGCAAAAGTCCAGCCCAGCTTGGTTTGAATTATATACAAACAGGACACCAGATAAAACCACATGGAGTCACCAAAGAAATATGAGATCAAGATTATAAGGATATAGGAAAAGCACCTGTGCTTTAGAAATAGACTTAGTCTGCTGCTTTCTGTTATTGAAGTTAGTGGATGAACATAATTGTTACAAGAGAGCAAGTGGTTAGACAGATGTGCATCACAAAATGTGTAGCTAGCTTCTTAAAAGCAGAGTGGAGCATGCACACTCATTATGTTTATGTTTACATGATGCATTTACACCGTGTTGTGGCCATAATTACTGTCTTTCATCACTACAGCAAACAAATAGACATTTTTCACAAACTTGGCAGGTTTAAGTGCACTTTATTTTAGCAGAGTATAAGGTTTGTCTCCTTTTGAATCATTGATAAGAAGCACTTTGAATTGTATTTGTTTCTTTTTATAACATTTCCATGTCATTCACATCTAATTGTGATCAAGCAGCAACCACCAAGGCTGAGAAATGAAGATTTTGTGGAAATGCCAAAACCTGGAGTTCCCTGAATGGCAACTTGAGGCTGCCTCCAAAAGGGAGTCAGTCCCCATAGACTCCCATGTTAAATTGCCCAGTTTACAGCAGAAATAAACATGTTTACATCCTGGTGCAAAAACGGTTTTGGTCTCTGTAGCTAATTTCCTTTTTCATGACAACTGTGGGAAAGAGATTTTTTATATAACTCACCTGTTTAAATTATATTGAGTCTAAAAGTTAAGCATAATTAAGGGCATGGCTGCTTTGAACGACAGGAAGGAGGCCGCTGTCCAACAAGCTCCACTCACACGCCACCTCTTTGCCCATTTTTGGATTAGCTGTAGCAGGCAGAGTAAAATGCTACCAAGATGGCAACGGCCAAACTTCTCCTTAGAAAACAAAAGTGTGATGTCATGGTGGGTTTGTCTATCTTTTATCTACAGCTAGTGGTTTTGCTATGCATGAACTGATGAATGAGCGGCATTAGTGTATGGATCGTGGCCATTTATTCTCCAGTAAAGAACCTATATTGTACCACTGTTCCTTACCACACAAGGCTCCCATCAGTCTGAATGCTGGAGAAATCATTTCAGGCCTGGAGTAAAGAGTGTTGCATGCAGTTCTACTCTACAGTGTTATGCTTCATCTCCTTCAACAAGGACCAGGGGAGGAGCAGCAAATACTCAAACCATCTCCAGATATGGTTTTATTTATTTAAGCTTCGCCTTTGCCCTAGTGTCAGTTGCAACAAGAATGTATGCTGAAAAGTGGACTGCACTGCCAGAGTACCCCTTGCCTTCAGGTTTTTCACTTCCCCGTCCTCTGTTCCTCTTTATCCCACTGTCATTCACTCCCACATGTAGGGAGGCCCGAGTAATAAAGAGCAGATTAACTCTTTAGCCTGCACATCTCTCTGTCCCTCCTCCCTCTCTTGTAGCCTTTTCAATCCTAATTTGACCTACAAATTCTGTCCAAGTGTGACAAATGAACATGGTTGAACTGTAGCCAAACAGCTACCTCTCTCTCTCTGTCGTCCCTGTCACCCCTCTACATATTTTTCCCTCTTTCACCGCTGATCCTCCAACTTTGATTCCTTGCAGGAAGTCAGGACAAGGATCTTCAGTGACAGAGACACCCCCCTGTGTCTAAACAAAGTATTCAGTTTTGTGCAGGGCCCAGCTGTTGTGTTTATATAACCTAGTTGGAAAGTGTAGTACTGGCTCAAGTGACCTCAGCCTACTCTGCAGCTGTCCAGTCCTGAACCGGGAGTTATGTTTTTTACTTGGTGGGAGAAATCATCTAATCATCTTGTGAAAATTCTTTTTCTTGCAGTCCTGCATCTTTGCTTTGCACCCAGTGACACCCACTCAGTGAATGTTTGTGGAGGGAAAATCCAGGTTCTGCTAGTTGTGTCAAAGCTGGCAAAAGCAATGAGAAGCTGAAGTTGTAAAATGTGGTGCAGTGCTTTGCTTTGCTTGGCTGGCCTTTTGCCATCACCCTTAACAACATCTTGCACACATTTACACACAAGCACATGTGCTCTACACATAAATACTTTTCCAGGGTTTAGTGTAGATCAGGCCAAATAAAATCAGACCAGCAAATGGCATTTTCCACAGTCAGGGATTACAGGACTGAACTCATCGCAGAGGCATTACACCATTACTTTTCACTCCTGTCAGCCTGTCTTTATTGTTCTTTCTCTTTACATTTGTCGCTATTTCTCACCCACTTCATTGCCTTCCTCCACCTTTTTCTGTGTTACTAGGCCACAAACCAGGATCTGTTTCTGGAATGACTTTTTCTCATGTTTCAAAACAAACACTAAATACAGTTATCGTGGTTCAGATCGCTGGCATGAAACCCAGCTGGTTCCTTGTTTTTCAGGAGACCTCATTTTCCTCCGAGAGGTCTGGTCCAACTTGAGACCCACATGACTTTTCAACTGTTCTTGCTGAGATCTGTTGCCAAAGCAGGGTTTTACAAGATAACATCTCTCACCAGTTAGATTGAAAGTGCTTGTTGTGGATGTCATGTAGCAGTAATAATTCAAAACTAAATAACCTGATTTCTCTTTCCTTTTCCTTACATTGCTTTCCTTACCAGATCAGAGTATTGTGTGGGCAGTTCTCTCAGTTAATGCATTTAATCATCCAGTCACACGGGGGTGTGACTGGATGATTAAATTTACAATATTGTAACAGTAGCCTGTGACCTACAGTCAAAGTGACGTTTTCTTGTTTTTTGTTGTTTTTTTTTAAACTTTTATATCACAGATAGTGAGGTAATGTTGAAGAGAATGGACAAACTGAGCAAAACAAACTCATCAGTTGGCTTTTATTTTATGAAACTGTATAGATGTCATGCATCCCAACCAAATCAGACCCTCCCTTTTTCTGCCTTCAGCCTTTTACAACCCTTTTTAGAAACTCGAAACCCTTGTTTTATTCTTCCTTCCTTTCTCTCTGGTTTGACTTCGTGAGTACAACCTGCATTTTCCTGCATAAGAATGACATCTTTTCCTCTTTCATTGTTGGATTGTTTGAACATTTCTTTTTCTCTCAGAGAGGGAAGCAAACTCTGAGGCTTTTGTTCTTGTTGTGGATGCTGCTTCCTCTCAGTCGCTTAACAAGGCAGACACACACACGCGTGGGCTGCATACACACAAGTGCAGCGCCTGCTGATGACAGCACCCTTCCTGTTAATGGAAGTCTATCTTCTGTGTGTTTTGAGGCGACCAGCCGGCCGGCACGCTTGCTGTGGCTCTCGCCTGGTCACTTTTTATCTCCAGGCTGTTTCTATTCCCACAGCGCAACCTACACTACCAGTCAAAATTTGGACACACTTTCTCATTGAATTAAAAGGGGGAAGTGTCCAAACATTTGACTTATAGTGTACTGCATCTCTTATCGCTTGCTTTAATGGAAATATACTGTATCATCTGGTGCTGTAAGGTACTGCAACTGTGAAAGCAGGTTGTGACAGAGGGCCATTGTGTTTGTTGAAACAGCCTGAGCACAATGGCACAGATTACTATACTGATTTTAATTTGGCATGGCAGTGACTGTCTTTTGTTGCATGTCTAGACAAACTTGTACACACAGTTTTAATTAATTCAAGGTAGATTTATAGGTTAATGTCTCTCTTAAAGTATTTTACAGCTTTTAAATGACGTAAACAGGCAAAACATAGTGAGAAAACAATAGAAAGAGTACAGAGTAGAGTCAGGTTCAAAGGAGGAGGGGAAGGTTGACGTAAAGACTTTGTTCTTTGGTCTAAGCCCGGAGGGGCCCTTAGCCCTGTTGTAGAGTGAATTTAAGAGGGTCAACTTTAACAAGAGCTGTATTGATTCTCTGTATTTGAGGGGAGAGAGTGTCTCTTTCTGTTGTTGAATAGTAGGATGAGGACAAGACAGGATGGCACTGCTTTTTCTCTTTATGTTTAGGCCTCCATTCAGCCTAAAAGAAGGGGGCAGCACTTGGGGGGTCTGGACTCCAGTGGTCTACACACTAACATTTGTAGCTATGATACATTTGATTGAGAAACAGTCACATAAGGTGTGCTCATTCTCAGTTTATTCCTTGACATATAATAAAATCTTGTATACATCTGACATACTGTACTTATCTAAGCAGGTTTTTGAAAAAGTTCTCATAGCACACATCTTTACTTTAATGCATAGAAATAATGATGGGTTAGATGTTTCTACCCCAGTGCCTATTGTGTGATTTATAAGTTCACCAAGTAAGACAACCCTTGTGACAGTAACTTTATTAGTTGGACATGTTGCCTGCACATGGTTGGCTAGGCTACAGAGTTATACTTGACAATGAGAAAAGGTATTTGTTTGGTTTTGAGCTGCAGCTGCCAGTTATTTTCTTAAATGATCGATCTGTATATGTTTTTTATGTTTCCGCTCCAGCAATAGTCGTGACCGGAGGCATTATGTTTTTGGTTTGCCCATCCGTCCCATTCTTGTGAACATGATACCCCAGGAACGCATTAAGGGAGTTTCTTCAAGTTTCCATTGTCCTTGGACTCAAGGATGAACTGATTTAGATTTTGGTGGTCATAGGTCAAAGGGCCTTTCAATGTGGAGTTTGCATGTTCTCCCTGTGCCTGCGTGGGTTCTCTCCTTCCTCCCACAGTCCAAAGATTGATTGGCGACTCTAAATTGCCTTAGGAGTGAGTGTGTGTGTTTGTGGTTGAATGTCTCCATCTGCCCTGCGACAGACTGGCGACCTGTCCGGTGTGGACCCTGTCTCTCACCCAGTGTCAGCTGGGGTTGGCTCCAGCCCCCCTGTGACCCTGTACAGTGGAAGGATGTTAAGTTCTTAATTATGCAAAATTGAAAAAAACAATAAATGAAAATTATGTTTACTATATTTTCTGACTTACAGTGCTGATAAACATTTCACAGAGGAAATCAGAATTTTGTATTATATTTTGAAAGTCTCCGTCCGAGTCTGGGGCGTTGGTTTTCTGGCTTTGCTTCAGCATGTGGTTAGATAAGATGCTGGTCTCTCTGTATGAGCTTCTCTCCACCCTGTCAGTGCTGAACATTCTGCTTCTCTCAGAGAAAACTCAAGGCTATTGTATTGAACGTTAACACAGATGGATTCACACAGTCCTGAGAACAACCAGATGACCAGGGAACCCATTCCAGGTGCTTTCACAAGACCTTTCAATCACATCCAACCTAAATCTACTCGAACAAGTTTTAAGCCTAGAGTTTACACAGGCATAGCTCCAGGTTCTCACTTCTCCTGACAGTGGTTGGTACTCAAACACTCGCACACGTGGGAAGAATATTAGATGTATTCTTGTGTTTGATCCTGGTAGCTCATGTCTCCTCTGCTTACTTACCCACCGGTCTCCGTGGTCCAGGCCAGGGGCCAGGGGCCAGAGGAGGAGACCTCCACACTGATCCCAGGGTATGTTATGATTCTGGTGGGAAAGCGCTGTGTCTCAGGTCTGGTCTGTATCAGGTTGCTGCCCTCCAGGATGTGTTGCCTTTGGACTGATCTTTTAGTTTGCTGATGAGGCAACGGTTTCTTTTTGCTTATCAGTAATGAACAAAGGAAAAATAACAGTAGAAAGGGCTGATCATTTGTCCATTTGCCCTGCCTCTAACCAGCAACACATATGCGCACACACACCCACACAAAAGTGTAATCAGCTGACCTATAATACATGATATTTTGTGGTAAACACCCACCATGTCTTAGATAAAAGTTTTATATAATCAATGCTATCGTCTTAATAACTTCATTTAAGTGACAATAAACGTGAAGCTGTACGACACATTCCATTGCAAAACACCACTTTGTAAAACTTGTTTGTTGGAGATGAAAGATTATGTGACAATGGGTTGGTAGCACTGAATGAGCACTGCTCACTGTCATGGGCTGCTTGTCATGCATTGTGATGGAGATGGTTATTGTAAAATAATGAACCTGGTGTGTCCAGTTTATACTGGCTTGAATCAAAACAAGGAGCCACGACTTGGCCTCCTGCTGATGATCTCTAGGCTCTGAGAGCACTCAGATGCACTTTTTGTGAGAGAAGGAAAACAAGAGGCCTCAGCTGATTGTTTTGAGTGGGACTCTTGTTGATCCCCGTCTTGCCACCGTGCTTTTACACAAGGGTTATTTTCCTGACTCAGATGCTCTTTACACTCACATTTATTTTTCTCACGTACACGTTCTGCCAAGTTGTTTACCGAGAGTATTGTCTGACCTCCCTGCTCCTTAGCCAAACACAAACATTCCCCCCCCCACTGGCCTGCCGCCACTGCACTGTGATCATGAAACCTTGGTGTAAATCTACACTAAAAACACAATGCAGTTAAGACCAAGGACATTGACTTTCACTGTAAATATCTCATCAACCCACAAGAGCATCTACTTTTTAAAGTCTCAGATAATTTTGTAGGCACCCTCAGTTTTACTTAAACGATATCAGTTATTTAACGTGTCAGCCCTCTGCTTAATCATCTACTCGCATTCTGAAAAAATTGGGAGGAAAATCAAAGTGATGGACTCCACCTAGTTAGTTATCTCTTAGTTGGTCTTTGTGTATTTGTGATTGAGTGTGTGTTGATCCCCTCAGGTGTTCCAGGACCTGGGCATGTTGGTGCTGTCCGGATCTTCTGAGGGCTACAATGTGTGTGTGTTTGCTTATGGGCAAACGGGATCTGGAAAGACGTACACCATGATGGGGACACCGGTGAGGAGAAGGGGTGGGGGTGGGGACTGGCATCACTGCCTGGCATTTGATACATTCATCGAGCATCGCCTGATCTCACCAGACACATAGGAGGCAATGCAACTATTAGCTGCATGTCAGATTAATGCAGCTTTGTCGTCATTCTCTGTTTTGTTTATGTTTTACTTTGTCAGGACAACATTGGTTTGACCCCTAGAATCTGTCAGGTAAGATAGTCGATTAACTTCCTGCTGGTGGCAACATATATGAAATCAGCACATTGATTATTCAGCTGCTTAAGTATATGGTGATAAAGCGTGAAATAAATTTCATTTCTTTTTTTTCATTACAGGGGCTCTTTAGGTCTGAAGACGCTTTTCCTGATGGGCAAAGTTCAAGCAGAGTCGAGATCAGGTACTTGTGTGATTGCAGGAGTATTTATGGAACTGTTATGCTGCAATACAGTGCAAGTTTGGATTTTCTTTTCATTGTTGGAGTTCCCCAATAATCTTATTTTAACTTGATAGAAGCAAGCAGAAATGTTACATTTGACATCAGACAACTTGAGCACCTATGTGTGATGGTGTGTGTAAAATGGACGTGAAATGATCCGGTCCTGACATGATACAGAGTGTTTCATAGCAGAATGTTGTCTTATCGTCTGGCCCCACAGCTTCCTGGAGATATATAATGAACGTGTAAGAGACCTGCTGAGAGGAGGAGAGCAGAAGAAGAAAACCTCATTAAAAGTCAGAGAACACCCTGAGAAAGGACCCTACGTACAAGGCGAGTCTTTGGGGAAGCAGTATTTGTGCTTGGTAAAGCAGTAGATAGCCGAGACACAGCTCCTAGAGCTAAACTTTGCACATGGCAAAAAAAAAGCTGTGGTGTTAAAGATGTAAAACATATACAAGAAGACATGCACATATACCCCTACACATGCACTAGACTTAGAGGGCTAAGGGCCTGAAAACCTAATCTAAAAACACAGCAATTAAAACACATTAATTATATATATATAATTATAATTAAATTCAGTATTCAAACATGACACTACAGCTCTCAGTATTCAAACATGACCCTACAGCTCCAGGTTCAATTGCACAAAATGTTGAGATTAAAAATTAACATATCATTTCCTCTTTTTGCCAATTTCCCTTTGTTTAGTGATTAAGACTTAAAGCTACAATATGTATCTTAAGGTAGCACCAGCATGAAACTCCAGATCAGTCCACTCTGCTCCGCCCAGCGCTCCCTCTCACTGCTCCACTCTGCTTCACCATGATCTGCTACGCTCCACCATGCTCTGTCCAGCTCTTCAGATATTTGTTGTTATGAAATTACCACAGCTGCCAGGGCTGGTCAATGAGTCTGGGTCACAGGAGGCTTCGACAGCACCTCTCCACATTAAGACATGTTTTGGAGCATAGTTCTACAACAAAAATATTTGAAAACAAAGTTGCATGTTGTAGCTTTAAATAGAGGTCTTATTACCCCAATATCATCCTGCAGCAGCCTTATATCCCAGGCATACAGTTGGACTTGGCATTTATATTTTGTGCTTTGGGCTCTAAGAAGTGTCCAATGACATTTGTACAGATACTCAGTGGTGGATCATATAGTAAAAGAATCTGTCTACAACACTTGGTATTAAGAGAGGGAGGATGAGAGTGAATACCAAGTTAAATGTTATGTCTCTGCATGTTATACACACTCACACACTGCAGCATTTTGAGTGCTCCTTCTGTCTTGTAGAGTATGTTTAGTTTAAAAGCCACTGTAGTATATGATCAGTGGTGGAATATTTGTTTTCACTGGGTCCAGAATTGCCACCCTGGTTCTGATCTAGGCTCGTCTTTTAGCATGTCGTACATCCTCTCTTTCTCCCTCCATCTCCTCATCCTGTTTCTTTCTCTCCCTCTCCTCCCCCCCCCCCCCTCTGCGTTTAAAGCCCCACATCCACTCTTTGTCTGTATCTGGAGAAATCCCAGCTGACGAGAAGAAGTGAAGTCATTTCCTTGTGGTTCCAAGGAGAATATTTTATGATAGAAACAGAAGCAGAGCACATTTAATACTTTGTGTTTTTACTATTTCTCCATAAACATCTGACCATCTTTACTCTCACTCTTGTGTTTTATAATAGTTCATATATTTGTATTAACTGGCTAAAATGACAGCAAGAAATCAGCATCCACATGTTTTATCAAGAGGCTCTGACAGCCTCTTAGGTTGATGTGATTCATGCCTGGAAGTAGAGCATTCTTATAGTTTTAAATTTCTTACTGAATGCTATGGGAAAATATTACAAATATAATTTGAACAAGTATTTATGAGTTATATAGGTAGAGTATTTCCTGTTGGCTGGCAATTTAACTTTTGTGCATGAATGTCATCTTTAATTGTCAGTCTGTTATACTATGATTTTCCAAATCTCTCAACAAAATGTTTACAAAAAGTGTTAAATTGTGTCTTTTATTAGTTTTACTCAGTTTACCAGTGTAGCTTTATTCATGTGGCAACCTTATATAAGTATTGCACTTCGTTTCACACAGAGATTTTCATGACGTATCTGCGGATTTAGGACAAATAATAAAATGTAACACTGGTTTTATTTGCGCACTTTGCTGAGCATTTTGTTTCTTTGTTCCTTTCTAATCAGACCTGTCTCAGCATGTGGTCTCAGACTGCAAGCAGGCCATGAGCCTTTTAGAGCAGGCCCTTGCCAACCGCATGACAGCGGCAACCCACAACCACGATGCCAGCAGCAGATCCCACGCCATCTTCACCATCCAGTACACACAGGTCATTATCTCCCTCAGCCCTTTAATCACAGCTTACAATCATACTCATTTGCTAATGGTCCTCTTCTGTTTTTTCTAATGTGCACTTAATGTTGTTAGCATCTATTTTCATGAAAGTAACTTAGAATTAATAGGTTTCAGTCTGATTACTTTGTCTTTTCTCCATAGGCAAACCTGGAAAATAACCTTCCTTCAGAAACCGTCAGCAAGATTAACCTGGTGGACTTGGCTGGGAGGTGAAACTGTGTTTCTTCCTTTTGTTGTGTATCTTTGTCAACATCTTCTAAGTCAGACACTTAAAAGTTGTTGACTTTGTTAAAGACTTGACAAAACTGCCCCCTAGTGGAGGTTTTCAAATCCTCCGTTTAACGTTGTCTTCAGTGCACTATCTACATCTTTTAATCTTGTCATGACAGGAACCCTATGTTGTGTTTATGCTGTGTCCAACAGTGAGAGAGCAGATCCCAACTACTGCAGGGATAGACTGACAGAGGGCTCCAACATCAACAAGTCTCTGGTCACTTTGGGCATCGTCATTTCTGCTCTTGGTAGATGAAGATACTGTTTTTACATGGTTTTTATTTGGAATTAAATCTAGCACGAACCTCTGTTTTTCTTTCTGTATTTATCCATGTTCCATGTTTCTCTTTGTCCATTTTACTTTCTCTGCACATCCCTCACTCTTTGGGCCCTTTTCTTTTCCTGCCTCCCCAGCCCAGAACTCCCAGATGTCCAGCAGCTGCCAAAGTATAAACAGCATGGCTTCAGAGGGCGATGGTAGCATGATGGGTAGCCACAGCAGCTCGCTGTCTGGAGGAGGAGGAGGAGGAGGAGGGAGGAGGCACTGCTTCATTCCCTACAGAGACTCGGTCCTAACTTGGCTGCTGAAAGACAGCCTGGGTGGCAACTCCAAGACTGTTATGATTGCAAGTAAGTGTCTCAGTTGTTGTTATTACTGTTAAATGACTGAGGTGTTGATTTTGTGCATTTTGTTTTGCTAACTAGAAATTGCATATGCAAATATAAGCTTTAGCTCCAAGTTTAGATCTGGCTGTTGAACGGTGTTGCATTTTTAGGCTGTTTTGTATACATATTAAACCCTGAAAGTAAATGTGAACAGTGAAAATAATGGATATTGTGGAGACAAATGTCATTTCTGTAGTTTTAATGGCAACCAACACTCAAGTCTGATGCTCCGAGTCTTTTTTCTGAATGTTTAGTGAGAATACCTACTTTGTCTTAAGCCACTGGTTTGATCTCACAGTTAGCCTATTTATTTCTTGTAATGTGAGTGCTATTTGTGTGTCCTGTGTGTTTTGCAGCGGTCTCACCTTTTGCTAACAGTTACAACGAGACTCTTAGCACGCTCCGCTACGCTGCCCATGCCAGAAATATTGTCAACAAGCCTCGGGTTAATGAGGTCAGTGGCTGTAGAGCATCTGGTGCCAAAATGTAATGTCTGAGCAAAATGTTGTTACTCAGTTAATGTGTTTGCTTTGATTCCTGTGCAGGATGCCAATGTTCGGCTGATCAGGGAACTGAGGGAAGAGATTGACAGACTGAAGAGCATGCTGCTCAGCTTTGAGATGGTAGAGTGACCTTTCATCGTTAGACCATAGTGCTAATTCTCCCACAGTTACACCCTGCTAGGTTTACCATAAAAAGCCCTCTTAATGCTGTAAGGTTTTGAATAAGAGATTTTCACATTACAAGTTTTGTGTCTTTGTGACATTTTAATCCCCTGGGTAGAAAAGACTGGAATATGTATTACATTTTCCATTTTCCCTTTGCACAGTATGTTGACTTCCTTTTTTTAATTTATTTTTTTACCATTTTGACTGACAGCAACGTAATCCCAGTCCATCCCTGAGTGATGAGAGAGATGGAAATCTTCCTGACATTGTGCTACAGAATGAACTAAAGGTAACACAAGGTCGACACACATAGTTAAATTTGCGTGATAGATACAGTAGCCCTTGATGCATCAAGCCAGTGTTTTCAGCTGAATGTTTTTCCGAAGTTTGATGTGAACTTTACAAAAACGAAATGTCAGCTTTTGACAAGCAGAATCATCATTATGATTAAAATCACAACTCTTGTCAAACTCGAGTTTAGATCGTAAGACTTTGGATAAGATGCAAAGTTTGAAATGTGATGTGTAGTTTTATACAAAGGTTGTATAAAGATTTTACAGACATTTGTGGTGTCTGGTCAGTCACTTTGGGTTTTCTCTTCCCCAGTTTTTGAGATATCTGCACCTGGGATTTTTGCTTATTTTTTCCAGATGCTTTATTAGCACCTTTTTTTTTTTTACCTTACATAAATGATGAGTTTCCTGAAAGACACAAAGCTAATGTGATGGTTTCCTTTTTCTTTGCTTTAAGTGAATTGTGCATCACACGTTATTTTACATTCAGTGTTGGTGACAGAAGTCCCAGTGCTGTATGTCTGAAAAGCAAATAAACCTCAATATTGTGTTGTTTGAATAGGATAGTGACTGTTGAAGCAAATCTCAAAGAGCATACAGCATATTTTGAGACATTGCCTAGTTGGACAGTTGTCCTGTGGGTTATTTTTGGTTAAACATTAGAGTGAATTAAACCAAAACTGGAATATTTAATTGGAGCAGCACCATTATCTCTCTGACAACAGATATTCACACCCCTGGTATTCCCCCGCCATTCTGGTTTTACTGTCTTCTCTTTATGACCTTTCTTCATTGTCTTCATCCACATGTCCTCCTCAGGTGGAACAATTGACGAAGGACTGGTCGGAAAGCTGGAGAGACAAGAAGGAGCAGCTGGGGCACTACAGTGTGGACATCAACAGAGACCGGGCCGGCTTCTTCATCAACTCACCCCAGCCACACCTGGTTACCCTCGACAGAGATGTTCTCAGCACCGGAATCGCCTTCTATCACCTCAGAGTATGATGATAGGAAGCCAATGACATATACTGTGTCCATGTATACACTGTGTTGGTGATGGATTAGGTGTACTTACTGGTCCCATTTAGTGAGGTCTTTTCTTTGTGTCAAGTGTTACTTTTAGTGTTAAATATCTGAATACTGTACATGCTGTGTTGGGTATTAGAATTACAGGTAAAAGTGCTGGAGTTTATATTAATATTGATTGTGTTGGTTGTATGAGATGGGGTACTTTCATTCGGTTTCTTATCCACAGAGACTCACATCACTTATTTCCATACATGCTGTTACTCTACAAATTCACATTAGCATGAATAACATTGTGCACCATCCCACAAACTGATATTTTCTGCATTCGCTCCACTTTTCCAAACTCTCAAGTTACTGTTTTTGTCAGCAGTCTTGACTGAAACTATCTTTTCTTTACTAGATTCTTTCCCCTCCTCTTTCTACTATTTCACTCTGTTCTGTTAGAAAAGCCCTTGAGAAAAGGTGCATTTCTACTGTCTTTTCTATTCACTCTACCCTCCAACAGTCCTGTCGATTTCCCATCTCTGTGTGTGAATGTCTTCTGCAATGCATAAAGCTCAGTTCATTAAGACACTCTTAGTTCTGAGGCTAAGACTCAGGGGAGCTTAAGCTGTCCTGAATGACAATGACAAGCATACCCCTAGGCCTGGCAATTACACTGTTTCCTGCTCACGAAGAGCTGAGGCCACCTGGGAGCACATGTGGTCCTGACACTGTATGAAAGCCTTTAATCCCATTAAATAAGACTTCAGAGTAAACAACTACAATTTTTTTTGTCATCTAAGGAGAAGATTAGAATTTAAAGGACAATAGTTCGCCAAAGAAATAGTGTATAAAATTCTTATATGTGTTATTGTTTTGGTTTTGAGCATCATCTAGTTAATGAGCAGAATACATATGCTTTGTTTTGATGTTATTGTTTACAAGGATTGAGACTCTACGGTATGTGTGTTTTATTTATCTATTATTTTCCTTTTTTTTTTTTTTTTTTTTTGTTTGGTGTCTGTATTGTTTAAATTAGGATCAGTTTGATGAGCCACAAATAGGTATTACTTCTTCATTCGCTCTTCATGTTCCCTCATCCAGCAGCAAATATTCCTTTTCAAACTGGGTAGTAATTTTTTTTCCCCTCAGCTTTTGTACATAACAAGAGTGGGAATCCTCACAGGGTTTTATTATTGCAGAGTAAAGATATTTTACAATAAACTGACAGCTGTAGAAAGTACCTGCAACAAAACCTTGGAACCAGTTCTCTGCGTAATGTATCAAGCACAAGTACACATTGCACTGTAATCATTAAATGAGTGTGCGTAGTAAAACAGTGCATGTCCTAACATGGACTGTTAGCTTTCTTAAATGCCGTACTGAGTGCTAAATATTTCCAGCAGTAGATCAACACAGCCTTCTAAATCAATATGTGAGATTCTGTTTCTGCTTTCTGTTTTTAGTTCTCCAGGGCAGTGCTAGCTGTGCGATTGAAAATCATGGAGGTGTGGTAACGCTCAGGCCGCTGCCGGGCTGCATCTGCCTGCTCAATGACAGAGAGGTCACTGAGCCCTGCAGGCTGGCTCAAGGTCGGCTCATGACCTCAGTGAAACAGTTTGCTCTGTTTTGTTACCAAAATGCTGCACAAATAGGATATTTTGTAGTGAAGTGAACAGTAAATGGATAAATGCTAGGCTGTTTTTGTTTCTGCTGAAAGCTTGAATGGATTGGCATATATTCAGCTTGTATGACATTTGACTTCATTAAATATTCATTCATTTTGATGTTCTGAGACAATTATTGTGACTTTCAGGTGTTTTATAGCTTATCTTAGGTATTACAATACTTGTGAAACAGTAGTAGAGAAGGTTATAATCCATGAAATTTCAGTTGTGGTCAAATTAATAACCTACTTCTGGGCAAGGAAAGTTTATTTATATAGCACATTTTCATACACAAATACAGTTAACACAATGCACACAAATAGATAAATCGTTAAAATGCACATATAGATAAAACATTAGGATGAAAACTATTAAAACATTAAAAACAACAATTACATGACAGCACAAATTAGCAACAATCATGTGTTCTCATTATACTTTGTTCCCCTTTACTTCAGTCTTCCCAAGACTGACCTCAGAGTAATTTACACCAGAGGTGGGCATACTTTCTTCTGGAAAATCTGAAACACCGGTGTCTATACAGTCAGCTATAACAAACTTGGTGCAATAGGATGAACACAGCTTGTGATGAAGGATATGTCTCTTTGTCTCCAGGGATGGTGATCACCTTGGGAGGACTGCATAAATTCCGCTTTAACCATCCAGCAGAGGCAGCTGCCCTCCGGGAACGCAGACGGGTAAGTGCTGCTCAGTTGAAAATAAGCACCATGCAGCTGGTTAATTTGACAATCATTAGTTTCTGATCACGTTTTTTATTTGTTCTCAGAATACTGATGGTGGTAATAAAAAGTTTATCTTTAATTTTCTCAGACCAGTGAAGGCAGCATGACCTGTACCTACATTGACCTTTGCCCCTTGAACCCTGATCGCAGGTAAATACTGCTTCCAAAAAGAAACAACCCAGTCTATTTTTATTGGGGGGGGCAATATTCATTGCTCTGGTGTGCAGAGAGATTTTCTGCCGACTTGTTGCATACATATTTGATAAGAGATGCAAGTGTCATACCAGTGTTCATGCTGTAGAATTAGGCCAGTGGTTCATACATGCTTTTTCCAGTTGGTGGATATGGCATACATTTCTGTTAACCCCCACCCTTGTGAACACTCCTAGCTGTTTACAGCACAGGATCAACCGTTGCTTAGTTACTGCTGAGACGCTGAACTGAAAACCAAACCAACGACAATAGCTTTTACCTACCACTCTTTCACCAAACTACAGAATTTTAGACATTAAATAGAAGGTAAAATGACTGCTTTACTTTATTCCCTCTTATTTCATCAGTTTCTCAGTCTGTGATTTGTCTTGGATTCGTGTGCCTGTTAACAGTATTGAAGAAGCAGAGCTCCAAGGACAGCCGAGTGCCTGTCTCTCCCCCAGTGAGGAGCCTACTATTAGACAGCGTGTAGAGGAGCAGCAGCGCTACGTGGAGAGTTTGCGAGAGGAGATCCAGGCTGCACAAAGGCGGGCTGAGAGGGAGCTGGAGAGGGAGCAGGCCCACCTTCGACAGCAGCACAACGAGAGTAAGGACTCTACGCCCACTTTAGAAGAGCCTTATTGCTGTTCAAGTAGATACCCATCAACTTTCAAAATCCAGTAAAAATTTCTAAATAGAGACCGCTAGTTCTAATGTGTAATTAAAAATGTCTCTTCTTTAAATCAGTCCAGCAGTGGATTTTGCAGGAGAAACGGTGCCTGACAGTTCTAGAGCAGAGAGTCACCCAAGAGTGTGGAGTTCAAACAGATTTTATACCTGCAAACCGTCTGGAGCGACTGACAGTTCAGTCGTCTGAGGATCATGACTCTCTTAAAGTGGATTGTCCCTCCCAGGTGGTAAGGGCCAGGAAGAAGGTGGTGCAGGAGGAGCTATTGAAGCATCATGCCCTTTGTTGTACTGAAAGCCGCATCCGTCGGAAAAGGCTACACTACCAACTGGAGAGAATAGGCCGCAAGCAGCATCTGTTGGAAGCTGAAAAGGAGTTAAAGCGGCTGGAAAAGGAGCTGCCTCCAGGACCAGACAGCACTGATTCTCCTGAGCTGGGGTCCTCCTTGAAGCACAGAGGACAGCCACCTGTTTTTCGAAGACACTCGTTTTCAGCAGATATTCTGTCACGACTCTACCCGCAGCACACCTCTATCTTCAGGTGAGTAAAATGTAAAGCCTGTTGAGTTAGTTGCATGGGAGGGCAGGAAGCAGACTTCTTTGCTTAACAAATAGAGATGAATGCAGTACAGAATTATTAATCTCTAGCTGTTTTATGGTTGTTTGTACCTCTCTGTATGCAAATACTTTCCCAACTTTAGATGTTCGATTGGCCTGTCTTTCTCTCTTCAACAGACATTTCCTGAAGAGAAACAGATCCACAGAACTGACTTTAAGTTCCTCCAAAGCGTCTGATTCTGTTGGCAGCAGGAAGTGGGTTTCGGATGAGTGTCTTCCTCGGGAAAGGGCACAAAGTTGTTCTGGGACCATCTTAGGGCAAAGTCAGTCCTGTCACAGTAGAGTAAGCTCTTCTGAAAACATTAGACAGACTTTCAGAGAAAAGCCACAAGCTCAGCCCTGTCGGGAACGGCCAGAAAGGAAACCCCTGCTGCCAAACCGAGATCTGTCTTTTAAAAACAGATCTGATCCGAATTCAACAGTTACTCTCAAGTCACTACTTGAAACTACTGTGCAGCAGGTCAGCAAAGAAAATATACAAGGATCCACAACAGACGAACCCAGTTCGCAGATTGTCCCTTGTACAAACGTGACAACCCCATCACCCACAAATAACAGCAGGCTGCAAACCATAAGGAAAACGTTCTCTCGTTCTGTGGGGCCCAGGTTAAAAACAGCTCTTTCTAAAGTCTTCAGAATACCACCCTCAGGTGTGAATGCAGGACAAGACCCCAAATCTCTGGGTAAGAAAGCAAGCAAATTTCACTGGAGACAAAAAAGAGACAGGAGCCTAAAAGATACCAGTATAAGCCGAAGCAAATGTGTCCTTAAAACAGCTGTCTCATGTGAGGCGCTTGAGCAAAGAACTTTGTTTGAGGACTTAAGACAGAGGCCGTGGCATAGTACCGAGGCTCTGATGAACAAGATGAGCAGGTGGGTCGAGAGGCAGCAGGGATTATTTGAATGGAAGGAGGAGAGGGATGACGAAACGTCAGACTGTGAGAGCCTGTTCTCTCTTGATTCCCTGTCCTCCGCTTATGCAACAGCTCTAGCAGAGCAACTGAGACATGAGGAAGCAGCTCAGAGTGAAGCAGAAAGCGAAGACAGTCAGATGTCTAAAGATTCCTTGGCAATGGAGAGCAGTGGGAAATACTCTACAGTGAAGAGGCTGAGCCGCACAATTGTGCCAACTTACTCGCTGGTAACAGATTGCTTTCGTTCATCCATGGTACAGAACAGGACAGCAGAGAGTAGTGTGGAATGGGGCACCTGTCAGAAAACTCAGGTAATCCCAGTAGAGGCATTCTGGAGCCAGCAAGGCTCCCCAAAGTTGGGACATAAAGGGAAAATTGGAGTAACGAGGAGTCTGTTGTCTCAAAGCCCATTAGTAACAGATTCCACAGGCAAAGACACTGTGCACAAATTGATTGAGGACTTTGGGAACATGCAGACCACTTCATCTAGCAGCCCACACTCCCTAAGCAGCTGCAGTGTGAGGGAGCCAGAAAACCTGGTGGCACTCACTGATCCCTGGTCTTCTGCTGATGCAGCAGACAGTCCAAGGATTCACAGGGATTCCCTACCTTTCCAAAGTCAAATGTCATTCAGAGATGTGAGAGATGTGGAGAACAGCAGCAGTAGTGCCAGTCCGACCAGTATGAGCCTGTCAAACTCTGAGAGCAGATACAGAAGCTGTAGCTTGTCTACCAGCACTGAGGTTGCAGATGTAACAGTGCAGGAAAACAGGCTTGAGGTTTCAGGGGAATCTCGGAGTTTAACACCAGAAGATGTAGAGCAGTTAGACCAATGGTCAGAGCATATGGAAAAGATGGTTACAGATACTCCAAATTACAGCAGCAGCAACAATTCTGCATTCTTATCTACTGCAGATCAGGCCACTTCTGTGTCACCCACTGGGATTCACCAAACTGCACAAGCAACATCAAATTTTCTTCCAGTGCTTACAGATGCACCTGATATGGTAGCTGATGACATTTCTATATCCTCTGACAGTGAAATGTGCACCTCAGGCTGTCAGTCACTAATGCATTTCTCTACAAATCCTACTAATCAAGATCAAGCATTACAGGCAATATCTGACACTGAGCATGATGTACTGTGCAATCTAGATAGTGCAACAGAAAAGTTGAAAGATGTACAGCAGTATCATTTTGGGAATACCAAAGATGCATCACTTAAAGGGGATGAAACGAAAGATGCTGGGAAGTACACTGCACCACATCAGGAGTGTATTAAATCTGCTTGTAAAAGTTCCAGGAAGAGGAACAAAGACCAGGATGCTTTCATGGGCAGCCTGAAAATTCCAAAAAGGAGAGAGCAGGCAACTTTCAGCTCGACACCAGTTGGCAGCCAAGAAGATGTTTGGCTAGATTGCTATAACAACATCAGTGACACTAAAGGGGAGAAATCTGCTATGGAAACTGACAGCCACGGATTTGATCCTGCTTGTGCTGAAGGTAGTGTTAGCCAAGACATATCGACTTCAGTGGCATTGTCCGCTTCTGATCACATGAGCAGGAAACTTGGACAAGTCTTTAAGGATTTGGAATGTGGTGACAAACGTTTTCAGAATGGTGCCTCTGTGGGAGATAAAGTATTTGAAAAGGGAGATGTGTTTGCAGAAACAAAAGGGGGAGAATTCCACAGTGATTGCTACAGAAAACATCAAGAAAACACAAAACACATATGCAAGTCAGATGCTATTTGTAGTGCCATTGACATGAGAATCTCTGAAGTGGTGAAAGAACACATGAGTTTGTCAGTGTTTGACAGTGATGGTGGCAGGAAGGAGAGCAGTCAAAGCCTGAATGCCTTAGCATCATGTACAGTTCATTTTGGCTGTAATGGTCATGAAAATAGATGGACAAAGAAACTGCAGAGAGATGAAGGGACAAACCTCAGTGGACATGATACAGTGGAAATGAAAGATGAAAGTGTGCACCCGGCATCACGTATGCCACCTGAATTGAGGACTAACCATGAGAGCAATATCCTTACATTTGCTGAAGGAACACTGGAGAGTGCCCAGGCTCATAACTTTTCTGATGGGACCTACAACAAGCCAATGAATAATTGTCTTTTCCTAAACTCCTCTTTCAAAAACATCACATTAAAACATAGCCAGGTGGAATCTAAGGACAACAGCAACTCCACTTTGCAACCAGTTAGTTTGTCCTCAATGCCTGACACCTCTTCAACAGAGAAATATGTCGGTTCTCAAGGAAATGCTGTGGAGAACAATGCTCTGTCTCAAGAAATGAGTGACATGACTTTTCATCTTTATTCTACCATCAGTGATATGTGCTCAGTGAAGAGCCAAACATGTTCTGATGCTCCTGGCATGGATCCCGATAGCCCACAACTTCATCATATTCCCTATGAAACACCTTCCAGCCTGGTTGATATGAAGGTAAACTGTGAATTTAACCATGTAAAGGTTGTCGGTGTGGAATCTGCATACGGGGTGGAAGATGAACAAAACTCACTGAGGATGATTGAACATTTCCAGAGTAGTTCTGACACACCTGGAACCATGAAATTATTACCTGACACAGAGCCTTTAACAGCACTCAGTCATCACAGCAACCAGAATGCAACTACTGATGTGAATGCCTCTATGAATGGGTTTTCTATTACTCCTGTCCATGATGGAAATGTTGAAATAGACAATACACCAGGAGATAAACCTTCTGTCACTGCACAGGACCAGTTCAGCTGTCCACAAACCCATTCAGATAACTTGGCTAAGACCTTTGTGGTAAACATGAATTACAACAACAAATGCCAGAATTTATCTAATTCACACAACTTCGATAAAGATTCTCAAACTGGCAGCAAAGGAAACAGTGTAATAAAAATGGACACATTGACCTACCAGTCTGAAGCACGGGTTTCAAAGATTTTTGCAAATGAGTCCAAATGTGAAGCAAGTATTTCTGGTTTTATGCAGCTGCAACACAAAATGCCACAGGAAAATTGTGTTGGAAATACAAGTTGCCATGGATGTGTCATTTCCAGAGAGAGTGACATAAACACATCTGGTAATAAATGGGCTAATGTTGCTCTTATGCCTAAAAAGACCAAGTCTAAGAGGTTCAGAAGGTCTAAGAGCCAGACTCATCCTGCTTCTTTCTCTGAGTCCTCTCTTAAGTCATCAGATGAGGATGAGGAAGATGACAACACCTCCAGAGTGCATCACAGCAGACTGTCTTTTAAATGGCTAAAGCTCGGCACTCTGAGTAATGGCAGACAACAAGTAAGACAGGTTACTAATAATGACACAGATATTTCTACTTTGGAGCCAGAGAGTAAATCTACAATAAAGACTCATTCTCATGGTGCTCAAGGAAAACCTGGGGTAAAACTAAGTAGGGATTGCATCCAAAAAAGACCCTCTTTACCCCCTCACGCACTGTCACAAAAGACAAATGTAGAAGAAGTCCACTCGTATGCAAAGAAAGGTGAACCACAACATTCACTGAAGTCTCAGGGATCTGCTATGCATTTTGCCTCTAGTGACATCAACCCTTTTGTTCACCAGTGGCAAGGCAATGACTCAAACCAACATTGTTGTAGGAACCCCACATTCGGGAGTGCTGCTGACCTATCCTGCAAATCTCCGCTTTTAAACAGTGCTGAAAAACATATAACAAGATGCTGCAGTGTCGACAATGGTTTGAATGGGCAGAACTCTCCTTTCACTTCCCATCTGAGCACTTATGTCACCAGCAAAGGGCTCTCTAGTACACTTAGCAGTATGGAGGATTATAAGGAACAAGAGACTAAACCAGCGCAGCTTGCAGCCTGTCAGCAGGCCTCCGTTGATGATAGTGATCGCCTAGCCAATCTGATGGTCAACTGCAGTTCTTCCAGTAATGATGTTCCTGGTAGTTTTGGTAACAGCTGCAGTCATGTGGATAAACTCATGTTTGTTTCCTCATCTGAGCAAGAGTCCCAGGAGAACAAAATGCCGGCACCGAGGAGGACGACGACATGTGAACACAGCACTCAAACTGAGCGTGGGCTTTCAATAGTAAATACGAGTAACTGCAGTAAGAGGAAAGATCGTCACAAAAGGAGTTGCACTGATGTACCTGCAACACAGAAAGCTAAAGTGGACATTAAAGAATCTCCTACATGGGCCAGCATGGAAAGCATGTCGGTTCACCTCTCCAAGCTCATTGACAACACGTCAGACCTGCTGGGGGACGTCCAAGGAATGAGAACAGGTGGAGTTCGCAGGTCCAGTTCGAGGAGGAGTGTCAACTTGTCAAATATTAGCATCTCTTATAGTGAGTCTGTTGACTGCACCAAGAGAGAGTGCTCAACGCAAACCGCAGTAGATGTTGGGATCCAGACCGAAAGGCCAGCAGAGGAGGAAGTTGCTGTTCATCAAACATCCAAGGAAATGTCGAGACTTCATGAAGTCAATGTGATAGTTAAAGTGATTGGCTGTGAGGGTGTCAGTGTATCACAAGACAAGGATGTGCATTGTGTGGCGAAAACTAGAGCAAACGCAGATAAAAAGATGCATAGCATGCCTGACTTAAGTTTTAATACCTTTGCTGCACTGCAGTCAGAGGCTGTCCCTTTGAAAATACCTCGTGTGAAGACTGCAGCTGAATGTCAAAGACGTGTAAAATCCGCTCCTTCTAGAGACTCAAAGCAAAGCTTGCTGGAAGCACCATGTCACAGAAGTGTCGCAGTCTCTGAAATCATTCGCAGGTCATCAAGAAGCTGCTACCAAGTAAATTGTAGCCCGTCTACAGGAAATGATCCACCGTGTTCAAAAAAACAGGCTAAATACACAGACTGTGCATCATCTCCCATATTGACCGTGGGAGCCAAATTACACCCAAAGCATAAAGATAAACAGACAACACTATGTCTTCCAAAATATAAAGATGGAAAGACAAACCATCCTACTGAGGAACACAGCCTTACTGTGTCTTCTAGAAAACAGTCAGATTGCACATCTGTTTCAGATGAAGCTCCCAGACCAGATTGTGATGTTTCCTCTGCGAAATCAGAATATGTATCACTTGAGATAGTGAGTGAAATGAGTTGTTTCAGTCCTAATGGATCTGAGAAATGCTCTACAAGCCTTAGCTCATCACTGGATAAATATACAGACACTGACAGGAGAAATGTTACCTGTAAAGACAAGGACACCCACCAGCCAAGTTCACAATGGCAGATGAGCTCTCCACAGGTGAGGACTTCTACCAAAGGTTTAACTTTGCACAACCATGTCTCTCCTATATTAAGACCACCTGATGTACATGCACAGCAGGGTAAAGCTAGACATGGAGAACCAGCACGTGATTCTGTGGACTTTTGCACTGATTCATACAACTCCTCCCCAGTCAGTAGCAAGACTGTTCAACTTCAAGAGGATGACACAGTGTCACTGGTGCCCAGTGAGTGCAACACAGACATCCTTGTGAACATTAAACCTGTCACCAGCGTGTCCCCATGTCATGACCACCGGATAGTCCCAGAAGACCTTCCAATGCACAATAAGTTCACCAACTGGTCAGGCATCAACCATCAGCGATCAAAACCCTCTAACAAGCTGACCTCATTTCATAACAATGACCTTAGTAAGAGCAAAAGCTGTGCTGAGTGGGGTGAAATGGAAAGTTGTGGCTCCAATATGGAGTCTGTGGCACAAAGCGGCAAAAGGACGAGAGAGATAGAGAGGCTGCGACAGGAGAGAGAGCAGGTGATGGCAACAGTCAATCTCAATATGAACCCTACGCCACTGACTGTGGAGCTGACGGAGGCCAAGCTACATTACGGACTGGGTGAGACGGATACATTGTTGAAGATGCTGTCACACACATCCAGAGAAGAACCAGAGCCACTGACCTCTGCTCCTACCAAACAGCAGCTGTATGATCGGTAAGGATACACATGACCTAAATACCCTTTATTTTGATGTAACAATATTACCTGAAACTGATTAGGGCTAGGGGTTTGGAAAATACTGATACTGATGCCAGTATGATGCTTGAGTTTTGGTATCACAAGTGCATTTTCCATTAACTTTCAAGTGTGGGATTGTTGTAAAGAGGTTATAGCATATGTTTGGTGTGTATCAAATGACAATGAAAACTGTGTGACCATGTGAAAAGGATTACTAAGTGATGAGCCTACAGAGCATTAACTCCAGAATCTGAAGCTCTCCTCAGCTCTACTGAGCTTTATAGTGAGTTTCAGCTCATTGTTTAGTTGTCTGGCCCACAGCCTTTACTATTTTTGTTTACTGCTCTAATAGCATCATTTTTTGCCTGCAGCTGTTTTTGTTAAAAGCCTCTAAAAATCCACTGTACACTACCTGCTTAGCAGCAACTAGCAGGCAAAGTTGGCAGCTAGCTTGTGAACATAGTGGAGCATTTGGCTGCTAATTTTAGAAGTTAATTCCCTAAGAAGTAAAGACCAAAAACAGAGCTAAAGTAGCTGAATACTGGACTAATATTCACCAGGTGGCTAGAATCATGACCCCAAATGTATGATCATGTTTCTCTCTAACTTAAGTGTAAATAAGCAGCGTTTTTCCATACTGTATCATCCTAAAGGTGATATGTCGTGTTCACATCTTGTCTCCAATGTCCCCAGGTGGCCAAAAAAATCAGTTATTGCAGCCGTTAACACTAGGAATTATAGGACTTTTTCCAGTTTCCAAATTTCAGTACCTGAAAAATCAAGGTTCACTGTGATTACATTTTTGCATCTTTGCACTGAATGTATTGTAAAATTTGTAAAATGCATCTTCTGTGGCTTCACTAGTTTAATTGTTTTTTCTATTTCTGTGAATTGTTTCCCTTCAGACACCGCAGGAGTATTGAGGGTTTGAAGCAGGAGAGGGAAGCTCATCTCCAGACCTTTCGGAGAGCTCGTAGTCTGAGTCCCAGCAAACATCCTCACTGCTGTCCTCAAGAGGCTGTTTCCTCCTCCAAAGTATCTGCTGCCATGCCCAGCCGGCGTAAAGAGTACCTGAAACAGCTCCGCCAGGAGGTCATAGACAGCACCAGGTAACAGAGTTAGTGCCAAATGGCCACTTGAATTTGATACATGAATATTTTTATGTTTAGTGTCAACAGAAGGATATTTATCAAAAACATGTGTAACATGTTGAATATACTGTGACTGCTGCTTAGTGACTATTACCTGAGATCTTATCAAACTCTTATGACAGAGTACCAGATCCTCCAAGAGGAGAGGGCAAGTATCCGTCTGACATTGAGCAGCTGTTGCGTGACTATGGCAGAGCTCGAGAAGAAGCTAGGACAGAGATTGCAAAAGCACGAGAACGACTGCGAGAGAGGACGGAGCAGGAGAAGAGGAGGCTTCAGCTGCAGACCCTGTCTCAAGAAGTCAGCATCAGTTTGTGTCGTTGTGGTATCAAATAGTTTCATTTAACTGTTTGTTTTTAATTTTTTAATTCTCCTCTAATTGTTGATTTCACTGGTATCTCCATCTACTGTACTGTATGTGTCACGCAGGATGACCTGAGGCATCGGGCAAGAATCAGCAACAGCACCTTATGCACTGGATCCAGCCTGAGTCTCTCTTCTGGACCTACATCAGGATACAACAGTGGCAACACTGTCCAGCTACAACACGGCAATAGACCAGTGGTGACTGGACAGGTTGGTGCATTAATGTTACATGGAAATTTAAATAATTTAGATTTAATATCTTGGAATCTATGATGAGTGGATTCAGAGTGATGTTTTTCACCTAAAAACTGGTTTCATATTATTTACACACAATAAATATCTTATGGAGTAACATCAACAGTAATATTTCTATGTATTTGTTCTCATTTTTCTTTTTTGATTGAGCACCACAGAGGTCAGGTATATTGATATTGCTGTTTTTGTTCAGACTTCAGGGTTTCAGGGTGAAGGGCTGCAGATCGGGACACGTCCTCCTATATGTGGTCCTCCAAGTGTGAAGACGCAGAGAGTCTGGTTGTCTGCCCAGGGTAAGGACTGGACAAGTGATTCACAAAGCCCAGACAGAACAATCAAAAGTATCCTCAACTTGTCTTTATTATATAACTTTAATTAGAAATCAATAGTATATTATTCTAGATTGCTCCAAAAATAATTTGCAAAGGAGTTTTGTCCTTCACTGCCACTGATGTGTCACCTAAACTCCTGCTATGTTTGCTCTATCTCGGTCCATATGTTTTCTTAGATGTCCACCATGAGCCTCCTGTCACCGGGTTTGAACCCCTGATGACTTCATCTCCGTCTTCCCCCACTTGTCCACGCCAACGCACCACTTCCTTTGGCTCCACCTCCTCCATATCCACAACCTATCAGGACATCACATCCACTCTCCTCAGGCGAGCTCTAGCTGAGGTAGCACTGACCTGAGTTCAGAGAAAACCTGTGAAAGATCAAACACCCAGCCATTGTGTTAAATATTACCATTTTTGAATGCTTATTTTTTAAATGAAGCTTTCTCATTCAGGTATTTTTATCTGTTTTAATGGTAAGGGTTTTCTCTCCACAGGTACAACTGGCTTCCTCCGGAGATTTGAGCAATCTGGTGATGGGCAAGGCCACAGCAGGTTGGAGGTGAGCTCAGTCGCTTCCTCCAAAACACACCTCCTAGTTTAGAACAACTACAAAGTGAAGGCTTTTCTTCAGTACCTCAAAATCATAAATACAGTTAATTTGCTATTGTTTTAATTATGTCTTTATTTAGATACCAAGGAGAAGAACGAGGTATCCAGGCTTACTACAAGCCATCATCTGGCCCATCGGCCCACTGCTTCCTGGGGGCAGGGCAGCTGGACAGACCCCTGGACACCCTGTGGAGCGTCATCTCACAGCTGTCCAAAAGCCATATGTATAATCAGTCTGTCCTTTCTGTCTGGACACGACCACTAGATGACAGCGCTCAGCTTGGTGAGCTAACATCTCTGCTTAGCCCATATCCTCACTTGGTTTCCATTAATGACCATAGTTAATACTGATCGTAGAGGATAACAAAGTACGTTTACTCATAGGCTACATGTAAAAATACATTTAAGATATGTTTACTCTACTTTTGTTTGCAGTTCATGCCACTTTATATTTCCAACATATTTACGTATCTAACATATTGCTATTAGCTCTTTTACCAGTTAATATTATATATTCAAAATCATGATGAATGATCATTAAATAAAATTGTATGTGTTTTTAGGGATTCAGTTACCTCACAGTATATAAGCTGGCTCAGAGATGGCGCCGTCTCAGCCAATTCTAAAAGTAAACCCCTACCTGCACTTTAATGCATTAGTAAAAATAACTTGTACATAATAGTTTAGCACACAAAGTCATTTTTCTGAACTTTTATGTTGGATACTTCATGTACAATTTGCTATTTATACTTGCATACATTTACTTCTAATGAAGTGTGTGTGTATGTGTAAGTTTGGACACACTTTCCCATTCAGTTCAATGGGAAAGCATGTCCAAACATTTGACTGTTACTGTATTTTTTTTTTTTTTTAGTTTAGTAAAAAACCTGAATACTTCCTCCACCACTGTTTAATACAGGGGTGCTGCAGTGTGAGATAAAACTAGCTGATGAAATAGATTGTTGTGGTCAGCCTACAGTAACAGTAAATCACAACAGGAAAGCAGATTATAACATAGTTTGCTGTTTATTTGCAGTGTAAGCTTTATGCAGTGGGAACGTTTATCTTGCAAAAATCATTTGTGTTTTTGCAAGAGTATAACTATATAAAAATATGTTTTGTCTTTGCCACAAATATACATTTTTGTAAGGCATTTACAGAGCCAGCAAGTCTATGCATTAGCTATCTTTAGTAGAGTACAGTTCACAGTCTCATTCGTCACTGACAAGTATATTGTATTCCATTCTCACACCTGCACTATGTTGCACTTGCAGCGTCATTTGTCTTCTCTTAATTCATCTACACTGCCCTGTTCAAAGCTTTTGTATTTTTTATTTCTACACACTGATGCAGAGTTCATTTGAATAGTTTGTGTTGGATTAACATGGAATTTTCTTTTTTTACTGATGGTGGAAAAAGGTTGCTTTCCAATCTTGTTGAGCAGTAAAGGTTTGTTCCATCATATCACTTTGTTTTTGTGGTTTTTGTGAGCAATTTTGTCCATTCTGCTGCTTTCTTTCTTTGTGTATTTTTTGTTCAGTCTACATATTAACAGATCCATCCACCTGTCACCTCAGTCAGCCACGGGACTTCTGCTGCATTAGCACAGAGTCCAAGCAGGTAAGCACAGCTGTAACTGCTGCACCGCAGCTTGTTACTTCTAGTCACTCACTCTTGTACAAGGTCCAGTGAACATTAAATACAAAATCAAGCTTCAGTTTGAAAGAGACAGTTCCATATGGCACGAACCCAGGATCAGACAGTTATGTGCCTTGAAATGTAATTTAATAGCAAACAGCTTTTCATCTGCACTATGTAGAACATGCCATTTCAACACTGCTCACAGAAAACTCTGAACATAAACAACACTGACCCAGAGACAGCGGGTGTCAGCGTTTGTGTATAGTTGCCTCATGACTGATCAAAAGGCTGCACTGTTTTATTGATGATTTATTTCCTCCTCCTCTCTCTCTACCTCAGGGTGGCCTGTGTGTGCTGGCAATGCAGTCAGTGTTCGAGGAGTCTCTGCCTCGTCCCAGTTTGGATGCCGTGCGGGGGGAAATGATGCCCAGTTGTTGGGTCCTGCAACCAATTAGACACAGTGGAAAAGATGTCACCAGGGTCACCTACCTGCTGCAGGTGAGATACAACAGCTGCTGTATAAAGTAATCTGTTGTGCTCACTAGCAACACCTCCGTGTTTAAACTGCCAGAAAAAGCCCCCTCTAATGCAGAAGGGCAGCCTGTGTGTGACTGTGGAACTGATTCAGTCTGTATGAAATACTTATAAAGGCTTTGTGAAACAATAATGAAAGAATATCTGTCCAGCCTCTGTTTACTTGCCCCTTGCATGGGGATATGTACATGCACATTGAGAGCCGATGTACCAGAGTCAAATTCCTCGTGTGTCCAACACACCTGGCCAATAACGCTGATTCTGATTCTAATTCTCTAAAAGTGCAATGAAGGAATTAAACCCACCTGGTAGTCTCAGTAATACCAGCATAGTACAGTGGCATTTTGATTACTATATTGTCAACTCTGCACAATTTACAGGATCCCCTGGACATATCTTTTTATCAAAAGTGGCTAAAAATTTAAACCGACATACATCATAGTTTTACATAGTAATGGTGATTTCTATACACTGACCAGCCATAACATTATGACCACTGACAGGTGAAGTGAAAAACATTGATTATACAGTTGACTGTACAAATCTATGGTCAGCGTGTGAAGCTGTATGCAAGTCATCTTTGTCTTTGTTGTATTGTTACTTAGCCATTCTTGTCTCCTAAAGGTGGACCTAGGGACTCCATCTTTCTCTCACCGACTCTTGAGCGCTGTTGCCAGAAGACAAGCAGCTGTCATCGCTGACCTTGACACTTTCCTGGCTTCATAAATCCGCCGGACACGTGAAGACACATTAAGCCATGAGCACTTAGACTGAACTCTCTCTGATGTGGAGTTAGTCTCTCTTTTGAATTTGCACCTGAAATTTATTTACTTGACTTTTTTTTTATTTCATGAACACTGTTATATTCGTTTCCAGTTACATGGTTGAAGCAGGTTTTTTTGTATGAAGGTATTTTTTTTAATTAAATATTTAAACTGTATTTTTATACTTGTACATGAATGCTTTTAACAATCTTAAGCCTATTTTACCAAAGATTTCATAGACATCTATGGAAATGTTAAAGGGAAAGTTTTGCATGACACGTTTAGTCAGTTTATCCATAGCCATAAAGTTTCCCACCTAGTCTGTGCATTTATTTGATGAAGTGCTTTACTGATTCTGTCGTAACCTGGCTGGCACCAGCCGTTTACCTCCCTTAATGCCGATTAGAAATGTGGTGTCCTTTGAGTCCTACTATGTTGTAATGTTGGCAGCCAAATAGTGCACGTTAGGTCGGCAATTTTAGCATCGCAGAACATTTACACTGAAGTTTAAGAGTTGGTCAACAGATCATCTGAAGTTAGAGAAGTTTGGTTGCCTATATTTTCATTATGCAGATATGCTCCCTTTATAGTTTTCTTTGCATCTGTATAAACAGATTTGGCTAACATTGCAGCCACGTCAGCACACATGAGATTCAAGCCATATACTGTAGAAAGCATCAGTTTTTCCCAGGTCAGGGTCAGTCAGTTTTTGGCAGTATGTACTTTGTTATTGTAACTTATTTAGACAGAGGTGGAGGGAAATTTCCCAGATATGATGTCAGTAAAATGTAAGCTGGAACGATGAGACACATTTATGTGGTAAAGTATTTAAATAAGTCAGTTGACTTTCTTTTTTCTATAAATGAAGTAACACCTGAATTGAAGGTTTCAAATAGTGTTCAACCTATAAAAATGTAATGAATTTTTATTTTGAGTGAAGGTAGTATGGACTGCCTTTTTTGGGAGAGCAGCAGGGATCCTTTTTATTCAGTTCTCAACCTAAATTCATATTTTATTATTAATGTAATTGATTTTTTTAAAAATAGCTACAAGAAAAGGCTTCTGCCATACACAAAGAACACTATTGTTTTGACAGGTCGTGGGGAGGGTGTTGCTGTTTTTTATGTGAAGTGGAAGATTAGAAGAAATATATGTAACTAACACCATTATAATGCCAGATTAGACCCTTCTTAACTCAAATTTCTATACAGTCTAGGCAATTGAATGGGTAGAAAGTTAATGTATTGAAAGAATGTAATGAATTATTTAGATATTTTGTGATTGTCATTTGTAATTTGTGTTTATCTATGTAGGCCCTGCAAATTTTAACCACTTAGCATCGCTCTCTCTCTACAGAAAGCAAATCTTTTGTAGCAGAACAGCGAGGGTAAACAAGTGAGGAACTTTTGAATTTCACAAGTCAAAGGGCAGGTAGGCAGATGAATTTTCAATTCATGCTCTCTGGTTCAAGCCCATGAGTCAGCAAACATCTGACCTGCTGATGTGTCCTTGAGCAAGTTACTGACGTTACCCAGCAGCTCTGGGGATGATGCTATGTAGCTGACCCAGACCTCTGAGCCCCCTTTTCTCAGTAGTACTTTATAGTACCCAAATGTATAAGCTTGGTTCTAAGAGCTGTGGTTCTCACCTGTTTCTGAAGTCTGTTGTTTGTTTCGTGCCTTCTGTTTGAAATAGAGTTGAATGTGTTTTAACGAGCCAAGCACAGTGGTGCATTACAGGTGCTCGTTAAACACTTTGTTTTATTAATGTTGTATATTAAAACATGGTTGTTGCTTTGTCTCTGTTTATACAGTGTTGAAAACTATGCAGAAGCTGATGAAAGACGAGACTGCTCCCAGTCAACGCTGGGTCATCTGAAGCCATATTATTTAGAGTAGTTGTGCTCAGTTTGTGGCTAAAGACGCTTTGGGGTGGAGCGAGCAGAAAAAGACAAAAATACTGAAGTCACAGAGTGAAGGAAAACAGCTTTTCAGCTGATTTATTTTTTATGAGTATATATGTATTTTAAAAAGCCCATTTCCTTGTGTAAAAAGCATTATTTATATTTTGACAGTGTATTATAAATGTATTTTATTATACTCACTCTGCTACTTTTGCAAATATGTTATTTGGCCATTTTTATATAAATACATTCCGTTTTTAAGTGAATTTCTTGTTTTTGGATTTACTGTTACTATCAATCTTTGATTAATAACTTGCAATAATCGGTCTTGATTAGGGGCTGGGTATCGAACCTCACTGCCTTTCGGTACTGGAAAAACACCTGCCAAAAACTGTCAGGTACCAGAAGTCCACAGTGGATAACAGTTGACTTGTTCTTTGATAGAAGAATCTTCTTGAAACAAGTGTCATGTTTTTATCAGACTCTTGTTCCAACTAAATTCCTCAGAAAAACTTACAGTGGCCTGAGAAAGTGTTCAGATGCCTTCACCTTTATGACACTTTGTGTTCCAGGTTTAAGTTGTATCCAGTTCACCTGGAACTGGGCGGTTTATCCCGTTCTTCCAGGCAGATCCTCTCAAGCTGTGTCGGACTGGATGGGAAGCACATGCGAACTGCCGTCTTCAGCTCTCTCTGCAGGTTTTAAATGGGGTTTAAGTCTGGGCTTTGGCTGAGCCCCTCAAGGACAGTCAGACTTGTGCCAAAGCCGTATGCTTCAAGTCATTGGCGTCTTGAAAGGTGAATCATTGCTCCAGTCTCAGATCACTTTCATTCTGGAGGTTTTCTTCAAGGACTTCTTTGTAATTGGCTGCATTCATCCTTCAGATCTGACAAGCCTCCCTGTTCCTGCTGCTGAGAGTCACCCCCATTAGCATGTAGCTGTCACCACCATGCTTCACTGTTGGGGTGGTTGTAACCAGGTGATGAGCAGTGCCTGGTGTCTGCCCACAGTGTTTAATTATCATCTCATCAGAGCCAAGAGTCTTTTTCCTCCTCTCTGAATCCTTTAAATGCAGTTTGGTGAACTCCAGGCTGTCATCTAACCACCCTACCATAAAGGCCTGATCGATTGAGTGCTACTGAGTTGGTCATCCTTCCTTCTGTCCCTGCAAAGGACTTGTGTACCTCTGTTAGATTGACCTTTAGGCCAATGACAAAGGCCCTTGTAGAGTTTGGTCAGAGTCCTTGTGGTTCCCTACTTCTTCCATTTCATAATTATTGAGCCCACTGTGCTCCAGGGAGCACTCAGGACTTAAGAAATGTTTTTATAGCAATGCTCTGATCTATTCCTTGCCACTGTCTCATCCCAGAGGGCTACAGAGTTCCTGGGGCTTATTGACTTGGGGGTTTTGTCCTGCTTTGCAGTGTGAATTGTGGGAACTTTATATATTGTAGTGGTGTGCTTTTCTAAACTAAGCTAAGTCCAATCAATTTACTGTAGTTTGCTACAGGTGGGCTCCAGTCAAGTACTAGACACCTCTCAAGGAGAATTAAAGCAAACAGCATGCAGTGCTGGGCTGTTGTAAACTACTAAATATGACTTTATTGCAGTTTAATGCTAAATGTGGGGTCTCTGGCTGTGACTGATGGACATGTTTCCATGTTCAGAAGTCATTTCCTCCCCCCTACCCTTCATGCAAATGGCACACAGAGCAGTGGAGGTGACATTTCTGAACTGGTCTCTGTAGGTGGGTGGGTGTTGTGTGCGCGCGATTAGACCCCGGCCGGGGCGGGGTGCATAGGAGATCAGAAGTGTCTCTGCCATTTAGAGTCACCAGCTCTTCTCAGGAATGTCCGTCCCCTGCGCGCACAGATCATGTACTGGATGCGCCCACGTTATTTTTAACCTGGCAGGGTGGGTCAGTCGCTGGCTTTCGGGAATGACCGTGGAGCGCACGGTGCCTTCAACCCCTTTCCCTCGTTCCCTGAGCAGGACCGTGGCCACCTCGAGCTGTGGAGACCTCTGTCCCCTCTGACCAGGACCCCGCTGCTTCTATGGGATTATAATTGGTTTGTTGGCAGGGAGAAGACTCAAGATAAACACTTTCGGACAGGATAACATCCAGAAGCAAGTAAGTGTAAATTGAAAGCAGAGCTGATGCGCTGTTGTTAAATGAAGTTATTGATCTTTGGCCAAATACTTTCTGTCACCAGTCACTGAATAGTGCTCGTTCCATGTAGGCTATGTGTTTGCCGTTTGTAGTTGAAGTTTCCTCCCAACCACCTGTTGGACGAGGCTGCCATGTCAAATAATGCTATTCTATTAAAACGAGCCACTATTTGTTTTAATTGAGCAAAACTTTCGCAAGTCCCTGCCGTATCAGTTTTATCTTTTCGGGCGCAGGGGAGGCAAATTACGCACGATGACGCCACTGTGCGTGTTTGCGCCTGGAAAAGTGCGCTTTAGCTTATGCTGTAATGTTAACTAGGGGTGGAGGAAGTATTCCGATCAGTAAAATAGAGCTACTGCAATACGAAAATACTTAAGTGCAACTAAAAGTCCTGCTTTGAAAAACTAGATAAAAGAGCCCTGGCTCTTCTTGAATTATTATAACTGCGTTAACGTGGAAGTTGCATTTTATTGTTGTAGCTGGTAAATATGGATATACTATCATTGTTTTCAATTATATTTGGATCGATTGATACACTTTGCTTCTAAAATCTTAATCTGTAAAGTGACTAGTCATAAAGCTGTCAAATAATTAGAGGTGTTAGAAGGACAGTTTCTCCTTTTGAGATGTAATGAGCAGAAGTAGCCTATATAGTAGAATGAAATGGCAGTGCAAAGTAAAGTACCTCAGTTTTTGTTCCAATATATTTGATCTGTCTGTCTCCTAAAGCACCTAACAATCCACATTCCATCCTTGATCTAAAACAGTGCATTGGCCTTTGAAATAACAGAAATGAAAGTTCCCCTTAAAAGGACAAGTGTGAGTGTGTCCCTGTGTCTGGAAGAGCAGGGACTTTTATGTAAACACGCTCCAGGAATAGCTTACTATCGACTCCTATAACCTTTCACTAGATCAGCCTCAGTGTCTTTGCAGTCAAAACACTATTGACCACAACAAAGGAAGTCCCCCCCCCCGCTTATATATAATCGATCTGCAACATGAATTATGCCAAAGCATCTTTAAAACTCATTTTAGACAATTTCCCCTTATACCTTGCTAATTGCAGACTTTGGTGGTGGCACAGTCCATTAACCAGGGCCCCTCCAACTCTCCTTCCATATTAATCTTTTGTGTTTAGTCTCTGCTGGTCCACAGGTCTCCCTCTCCTCAGTCAAGCTGCTGCTATTGCAGTTTTGCACACACATCTTTGCCACACCCATCTCTTGTTTCACCCTCTCCATCTGACTCACAATAA